AGCTCACTCAATTTTAATTAAGCGCTTATTTGTGTGGAAAGTTGCAGTCTAGGGCGGCCTAGGGTTAGATTATGTTGGGTTTCCTTGTATGACTGAGCATGTGACAAATACAACTTTTTGAATCCTTCAAACACACACACACACACACACACACACACACACACATCTAGAGAGAGAGAGAGAGAGAGAGAGAGAGAGAGAGAGAGAGAGAGAGAGAGAGAGAGAGAGAGAGAGAGAGAGAGAGAGAGAGAGAGAGAGAGAGAGAGAGAGAGAGAGAGAGAGAGAGAGAGAGAGAGAGAGAGATTTGTGCGCGCGTGTGTCTTGGTATTTTGTAGTGATGGGAATTTCGGCTCTTTTTAGAGAGCCGGTTCTTTTGGCTCAGCTCACCAAAAAGAGCTGGCTCTTTCGGCTCCCATGTGGCTCCTCAGATTTTCTGTTGCGTAGAGTACATTTATAACCAAAATAATGCAAAACTATATGTAAAATGATTTACTAATGTAAAAAAAGCAATATATCAAATATTTATCATTTCTTTGGATTTAATAACTGAACACTTTCAGAAATCTCCACTCTCCGACTGCTGGCGCTCATTTTCTCACCGTCTTCGTCACACTCTCCTCTCTCTCTCTCTCTCTCTCTCTCTCTCTCTCTCTCGCCTTTTTCCTCCTCCTCATTCCCTCTCGTCTCCCTCCACCCGCATGTGCTCTGCTGTGTGTCTGAGTCTTATCCTCCCTCTTCCCTGCCCCTACTGCTCTGTGTGTGGACAGTCTGGACACGCAGTTACACATGCTGACCAATCGCCTGTGGCTTTCACCAAAGCAAAAGGGGAGGGGGGAGGGGAGAGGACGGCTCCCAATGACGAGCCGGCTCCCGTCGTTCACTTCAAAGAGCCGGCTCTTAGAGCCGGTTCGTTCGCGACCGAGACACATCACTAGTATTTTGGTGATTTGAACTGTCAGATGACAGTGGAACACATTGAGCTAATGGACCTTGTGACAGATGTCAAAACATGGTCATCTTGCAGATATTTTAAGGTGTTCTGATTAGAAATTACTAAATTTTAATGTACAAGTCAGATAGACCAATAATTAGTATTTATACTTATTTTTACATCTGAACATAACAAGTTGTCAGAAGCTTCCAGTGGACATAATCTACCTTTTTTGAGTGAGTCACGCTTGATTGTTTTTCCATTAATTCAAAAGAAATAATGAGACATAATCCACTAAAATTGTTTTTGGGGGGGTTTGAAAGAAGAAAATATCAGACAAGTTGAGCAAGAGAATCAAAACGTTTAGTAATGAAATTTTGTGCAGACATAGAGATGTTAAATATTAAGCAAATTAATAAAATGGCAATCTTCAGAAAATTTAAAGAGTTATCAATTGAAGTAATAAAAATATATTTGGATGCAGGATACATCTAAATGGAAGACTTTAGCTTGGAATGAGACATTGAATCCATTGGAAACAGTTTGGCAGTAAAACAAAAGGATGAAAGTCAAAATGGGGTTGCATGCCTCATGTATGATGAGCAGGTTACTGGGTCACTAGTTTAAATGGAAGGTAGTGTTGGTAAGGTAGCCACTGTAATTAGTACATAATTAAAACAGCAGAACACGCAAGAAATAAAAACACAAAGGAAGGATTGAGATAAGATAACAAAGTTTTTAAGATTTGTTTGACCATTAAAACTGAAAAATTTAGTAGTGAGATTTATTTTTGTAAAAGAAAATAGAGAAAAACATAAGAAAAAACAAAAACATGTACAATTGTAGCAAAAAAAATCTATTTTCATGAACACAAGATTTGCATTTAGTTTCATAGCACAGTTATTTTATATTGAGTATTTTAAATTGGTAAAGCTATAGCATGCAGGTGGCCAACTTATACCATAATATATTCAGCTAATTTTATGTTATGTGTTAAATACTGGAATGTTTCTAAAGCGTTATTGTGAATAAGAGTGATTTAGAAAACCCTTTCTTTCTTTCTTTCTTTCTTTCTTTCTTTCTTTCTTACCACAGGAATTTGCACATAACCTTACTATGACACATTACATATTGTTCCCTCTTACCCTCTCCATCCTCCTTCATCTAATTGATATTCACAAGAGGACAAAACCAAAATAAGATTTTTTTCCTATAGCTCCTTTGAGATAATGTGCCTTAAGTGTTCTCTTCTAAATGATTTTTTCTGAACCAGAGTGTAGTTCCAGTTTGTCACCCCTAAAAGGTCAATTCCCCTCCTCATTTATTTAAAGTCAATAAAAAATATTTGCACTGTAACTAGCTGGGTGCATCACTTTGACTCCGCACAACCATCGTGTTTTGTACTCAAAAATATTTTAGATTTTTACACCACCAGCAGGCAAGGCAGGTGAAGTGTCTTGCCCAAGGACACATCAGCAGCGTTCCCTGATTGGAGCTGGGATCAAAACTGCAACCTTCTGATTACTGGACAACCCGCTCTACCTCTTGAGCTACTGCTGTCCAAATTCACAGAAGTACAGGTAAGATAAATGAAATGAGCACAAAATTACATACTAAAGATGAAAAATAATCATGAGAACAAGAACAAGAGACAACAACACTATTGTAAAAATAAAGAACTGTGAAAATAAAGTATAAATCATTGTAACTCCCTGTAATCTAAAAAATAAAAGGACTATACCAGCGTTTCCACATCTTTGACTGGTAACATATTGCACTGACACAGGTATTGGTCAGATTTAAAACAATCACATTTTTAGAGTTGCTCAGCCTACAAAGGAAAATTATAAATACAATTTTTTAAGACACCTTGTAGGGTGCTCACTTGTGTTTACTAAAGTCTCACTTGCACTCCTCCCTCTAGGCTTCCTCTGTCATGGTCTGCGTCTGCGTCTTCCTTCATGTGTCTCCTGATGTTTCTCCATCCCTCTCTAGATTCCCTTCTGTGTCTTATAGCGCCCTCATGTGTCTTTTGTCTGCATCTCAAAGTGTCTTATGTTGTCACCCTTTTAAGATCATTCCTCCCAGGTCAGCTCCAGCCTCTTTGTCCTCAGCTCTGTGTATGTGTGTGTGTGTTTGTGTGTGTGTGTGTGTGTGTGCACGTCCTCCCCATCTCAGGGTAAGTGTGTGTGTGTGTGTGTGTGTGTGTGTGTGTGTGTGCGCGCGTCCTCCCCATCTCAGGGTAAGTGTGTGTGTGTGTGTGTGTGTGTGTGTGTGTGTGTGTGTGTGTGTGTGTGTGTGTGCGTGTCCTCCCCAACTCAGGATAAGTGTGTGTGTGTGTGTGTGCATGTCCTGCCCCTGTTCGGTGTTTGTGTGTGTGTGTGTGTGTGTGTGTGTGTGTGTATGCATGTCCATTCCCCAGTTCAGTGTATGTAGGTGTGAGTTTATGTGTCAGTGTGTGTATGTGTGAGTCCTTCTCTCAGTCTTTAGGTTTAGTTTTTGCGTTTTAGGTTTATCTGTCCTCCTTTGGTTCTGTTTCCCCCATTTAGATAAATTATTGTCACCTGTCTTCCCTCCAGCCCTCACCCCACATACCTGCTGCCATTTTCCCTAATTACTCCTCCCTGTGTATTTAAGCCCTGTCTTGTCTCTGTCTTGTGTCGGTCCATTGTGGTATTTCTGTCAAGCCTTCTCTAGTCTCTAGCTTTTTGAATTCCAGTCTTTTCTAGTCTTCAGTATTTTGTCTCTAGCTTGGAAATTGGATATTTTTTGACTTAATGGCTCCCTGCCTTTGGATTTATTTTTGTTTGTTCTCGGCTCATGCAATTAAAGGATATTTTCTTATATCACCATCTGCCTCGTGTCATCTTGGGTTCTGCATTTTGGGTCCTACCAACACCGTAACGTGACATCCTCAGTATCAAACGCAGAACATCATTATAGGCAATCTGCAGCCTACCCATATTACATTTCTTATAGTCAGTCCATAGGCGGGTCCTGTACAGCTTTGTACAATAAGCCTTAAACAAGGTTATCTTTACTTTAGAAGAAGTCCCAAACTTACAAGCGAGTGTCTTACCCTGAGCATTTAAAAGGCTGCACTGCCCATACATGTCATCATCATCTCTCATGTCCTCTGTGATGATATGACCAAGATGTTTTACTTCCTTGGTGACATCACAGAGTCTGACAGATAAAAATCTGGAATAGTAAATGCCCTGTATTTGATATAGAGCCCTAGAGTCCTGGAACCCCCAAGGTACTTTACAACACAATCAGTCATTCACACGCTGGATGGTATGAGCTACATTGTAGCCACAGCTGCCCTGGAGCGCACTGACATAGGCGAGGCTGCTGAGCACTGACGCCACCGGTCCCTCCGACCATCACCAGCAGGCAAGGGGGGATAAGTGTCTTGCCCAAGGACACAACGACAGCGGCAAACTGAGCAGAGCTCGAACCTACCGATTACGGGGCAAGCCCTTAACTCCTGTTCCACCTTCACCCCAAACTTCATTTGCTTTTCATTCTTTGCCCGACAAATCATAACCACACTTTTAGCTGCATTATACACAATGTTGTGTTGTACTCCATAGAACATAGAACTTAGTAACTGCTGTAGACCAGCAGCGCTTGGACTTAGAACCACTAAGTAATCTGCGTATCAGAGGAATTATGACAACACCACCAGCTGTGCAACCAGTTCTGCATGCTTTTACCTCACTGATAAGTCATCAGGTTAAAAAGACAAGGAGATAGAATGCCTCTTTGTCTGATTCCATTACTGACCTGGATCCGAGATACTATAGCTAGAATTACTGTATTATTACTGTTTATAAATGTCTTACTTACCATTGCTATTACTTTAGTATTATAACCTATAACTTGCGTCATCTAAAACTTTCATAAATGAGGCGAAGGGAAGAAAACATTGTATAGCAAAGGCAGCAAAGCTAATTAAAATACTGTCCCTATTTTCTATGAATTATGAGAGCGTTTTCTGCTCAGTGAAGCCATTTTTTCTGTAGTGGTAAAAGGGCTGTTGTAATGACCGGGTAAGGCGGAAGGGGGCGGTAATGAAATTTAAAACATGTCAACTCAAGAAGAAGAAACCCGGAAGTTTTCTGAAGGTCTCCTGTTGCGAGTTTAGATAGCGCTGCGCTTGACTGTTGCTGCTAAGTATTTAACGTAAAATGGGTGTTAAAATAGAGATGTTCAGGGTAAGCTTTGTTAAGTGGAACCTGGCTAAATCTGTATGTGTAAAAAAGTTGCTGAAACCAGCTGCTTTGGTTTTATCTTTATCTACCAAGCTGTTGTTTGTACGGTTGCACACACTTAAAACTGAAAAAATGAAACTGGTCATTTTTTGTTTTGTTTTTTTTTATTATTGCGCAGATGGTGCTGTATTTGTCTTTTCCCGTTGCCATGTTTTGGATTTCAAACCAGGCTGAGTACTTTGAAGAGTACGTAGTGAAAAGGAAGGTAAGCAGGCTTTACCCCTCCATCATGATGCGATAACAGCAGGTTTTTGGTTGTTTATGTTTGTCCATTTGTTTTTCTGTTTGGCATATTTATAATATTCAGAGAGAAATCTTCCCCCGTAACGAAGAAGCACAGGTAAATGACTTACACGTTGTTTCTGCTGTTGTTTGTGAGTTTTTATGGTATCTTCCTACATTCAGAGAACCCATTCAACAAAGCCCATTTGCAGTGAAATTTTCTTAATTTTTAAAGATGAGATATTAGAGAAACATGATTTAATAGTAGTTTATTCTATGCTTTTTTGTTTTTAAAAGATAGAAAACTACCCCTTAAGCCACATAAAAATGTATTTAAATTAGTCTAACTGAGGACATTTTGAAATAAAGGTTTTGCAATTATTCAGATGGATAGAAAAAAACTGATAGTAATATTTGTTCTTTTTTCAGAGGAAGGAGCTGGAGGATTTCAAAGAGCGAATGCGCATTCGAAGGGAGCAGAGACTATTGAAAACCCTTTCTGTAGATTCAGAAAACTGAATATTTCATATTGAAAAATTAATATTTAATAAAGCCTGGCAGAAATTCATGGGACTGCAGATTCATCTGGAATGAGACCACATTGTAACAGCAAAGTAACAAACATTTGACTGTTTCCAAGAATGACTCCTGCTCTGTGATTATTCTCTACACAACTTCTTAAAGTTGTAATTTTTGTCTTATTTTAGGTGCAGCTGTGTTTAATATCACTTCTAATTGTAAAGTGGGATGCTTATGAAATATTCAATACTCCTTTAAACTGTATTTTTTCTAATGTTTGGCATTTTACAAAATATCACTAGATATTTAAAAACATTAACATCACTCATAGCAATGCATAAAAGTGAAGTTTTGGGCATAAAACAAATGTCAATAAATATAAATTAAATTCAAATGTGTGTCCTGAATGAAATGAACTTAACTTCTAAAAGCATTGCTGATGGCAAAAGAAAGAATGGAAGAAGGCAATGTGAGAATATTTGATTTCTAAATAGATTTTCAGTACCAGGAACATAATTTTTCCACTTTGATTTTGTATTTGAAGATGTAGTTCAGTATAACGTTTCTCATTGGATGGTTACTGTACTGCATTCTCTCTGGTTTGATAACTGGCCTGTCGCTGCAGCAATGATTCAGTTTAAATAAACGATTCGATATGAGTCTGAAATTGCAGAAGGTCCCGTCACTGGAAGACATCCTGTCTGGTTCCTGTCCCCAAAAAGACCCACCTATCAACCTCTAACGACTGCAGGCTGGTGGCTCTGACCTATGTTTATGTTTATTCATTTAGCAGACGCTTTTATCCAAAGCAACTTACAATTTATAACCTACAGGGCATGTTGTGATCTGTGGGGGAAACCGGAGTACCCGGAGGAAACCCACGCATGCATGGGGAGAACACACAACTCCACGCAGAAAGGCCGCAGCCGAGTTTCGAACCTGCAACCTTTGTGCTGTGAGGCAACAGTGCTAACCACTGCACCACCTCAAGCATCATGAAGGTGCTGCCATGCTGAAGGGACTCATCCTGAAGCATCTGTGTTCATTGGTGGAGCCTTGGCTCCTCTACAATGGAGGAAGCCCTTATTTACTTGCTGGTTCAGACTTATTCTCATTTGTACACCACTGGGAGCACTGTGAGGGTCATGCTTTTTTTTTTTTTTTTTTTTACTTCTCCAGTACTTTGAACACATCTAGACCATCACTTCTGGGGAATAATCTAGCAGAAATGCAGGCGAATGATCCATTGGTTGCCTGGATCATGGGCTACTTAACCAAAAGACCACAGCGCAGCTGAAGACCTGCCGCTCGGTCAGCGAGCACTGCAGCACGGGGGCGCCACAGGGAACTGTCCTGTCACTCTTCACCCTGTACACCTCTGACTTCAGGTACTGGTCTCAGTCCTGTCACCTGCAGAAATTCTCTGCTGACTACCATTGTGGTCTGTATCAGAGATGGTCAGGGGGATGAATACAGCAGTATGGTGGACAGCTTTGCAGAGGGGTGTAAACTGAACAATTCCAACATCATTGAGACAAAATAACTGGCTGTTGACTTCAGGAAGCAGGCTCATCCTCCCACCCCTGTCAACATCAAAGGAACTGATGTTAAGGTTGTTGCAAACCACAAGTACCTGAGCGTTCTCATTGACTATAAACTGGACTGGTCTAAGAACACTGAGGCGGCATATTTAAAGAACAGAGTTGGCTTTACCTACTGAGGAGGCTCAGATTTTTTTATGTTTGTAGGAAAATGTTGACTATGTTCTATCACTCGGTGCTAGAGAGTGTGGTGTTTTATGCAGCTGTGTGCTGGGGCAGTGGGGTGAAGAAAGCTGATTAAAAAGACTGTTTCTGTCCTGGGTGTCAGACTGGAGAGCCTGATGCAGGGCTCTGAGAGGAGAATCCTGAACAAGCTTCTCTGCACCAGGGACAACCTGTTTCACCCCATGCATGCATCCACAATGAGGTGTCAGAGCCCACACACCAAAAGACTGATAACCTTCAAATGCAGAACTGGCAGGAAATCCTTTTGCTAGTAACAATAAGACTGTATAACTCTCCCTCCTGTTAGTGATTCTTTCTGCATGTTGTTTGTCACATCCCCATGACATGCTACCTTCTAGTTCAAGTTGTTATTTGTTGTTCTGTTGTACTGTCTTATATTTAACCTTGTTGCACTGAGCATGTTCATGACAAAATAATTTCCCTCAGGACAATAAAGCTCTTTCATATTTTATATAAATAAAGTTAATAAAAGTGTATCCAGGCACTTGTAAATGTATCCTTACTGAAATCCACTGATCATTTCATCTTGACCAAGTGTTGACAAGTGTTTCCCAGGGCTCATGAAATGATACTTGGCAATGACAAGGATGTGTTTGAGGTTGTCTGCTGTGGTGTGTGTGATATTCTCTTTTAGCTTTTTTTAATTGTCAGCCATTGTAAACGTTACGTTTAGACCTGGTTTTATAATAACAGTGAAACAAATGTAATTTTAATTTTTATTCTTATGTTTTTAAGGGAATTAAAACCTTTAGTTTCCTCTTATACCGGTGACTGCCTATAGGGGGCAGCATTGTTCTTTCAAAAGCTCTAAGTTTCTACCTTTTTTTTTCTAAGTTTCTACTGGTTCATCAACACGGAAGTAACTTTCAGTACACTTGCCAAGATGGCACCGAGTGGGCTGAAAGCGGTAGTCGGCGATAGTAAGTGATACATTAGTTGTACACTTTCAAGTTGAAGTATTTTATTTCGTGTACATAGAAAAACATTCATTTTTGGTCTTGTAGCCTTTTCAATAACTGACATTCAGTTTAAAACGCTGTTTAGACTGTACAGTTTAAAAATGTTTCTTCCTGTTCCCAAAGTGTCAACGCAGTTAAAGGAAACGTTTGTATTGAACAAGACATGGATGAAACGTAGTTTTGTTTCTCCGAGGCTGTTGGTAACAATCTTTTCTGGTCGGAAATTTTAACATTGGTTTGTTAGTTTTTTGAAAAATCAAAATAGAAACGCTCGACATTGATGAACACGTCTGTGACGAAACAGGTGGTTGGCTAATGATTGCTAGCTGGTGTTGAAGGAAGTTCATCAGCTTTGTGAGGATCATTAAACGAATACGTCTTCACGGTTTTTATTCAGTGTTTACACATTATTTGTGTGGTTACACAGCTAAACGTTCTTTGGTTGAGTGGACAAAGGGCTCTATTATTTACTATTTATATACTTAGATGTATTGCATTTTTGGTAATATGTATTTGGCTGTTCATAGGACTAAGAGAAAGACTGAAATACTGAAACATACTTAGTTTTAAAAAACACTTTTTAATGACATCTACACATAAGATCCTAGTGGTTGGAGAGAAGTGACTGGCCTTTGACAAATAAAACCGCTAGAGAAAAAACGCCTAAAGTAAATGCTTGCTAAGTCGTTTCTTTTTCTAAACATATACAGTAGAGTATAGTAATAATAATAATACTAACATCTAAAACAATGAGTTACACCAAGCATTAAGTTTGTACATGGGTGTCACTGCTGTGGTGTCGGTGAGGTCAAACAACAAAGTAGATCGAAGCACATCATTGCCCATTTATTTATTTTTATTTGCTGTTATCAGTCCTTTTTTGCAGAATGAAAACATTTTTGTGGGTCGGTATTTTCTACAGGAAACTTTTTAATTGAGACAGTAAGCCATATTGCCATCATTTTATGAAAATGTAATTTCTACAGCAAACAATAACCTTTCCTATGTGAAGTATATTCTTTTTAAATATTGTTTTGGTTTTTTATTGTTTTCACAAGGTCGGAAAACAAAACTGATTGAACCAGATAAATCCTTAATGCTCTTCAAAATCATAGTTTTGGAACAGCATTGCTCTTGGCAGGAGATTTTTTGTTTAATTTGTTAAAGTTGCTCTAAATTTTGAGTGCTACTACTAAATGTGATTTTATTTCAGTAAAAGTTCTGGTTGTTTGAAAAAAATGCATACATGATGTGACCTTAGGAAATATAATTTCCCATTGGAATGACATTTTTTTAACAGTGGTTTGTCCTCACAGTATTTAAATATAAGTGCCACCAAAAAGTGTTATATTTTTGAGTTTGTTGTACTATTTATGAAAAATGATATTAAACACAGTAATTACAGCATTATTAATTTTAAAATTATATTTCTTTGACAGAAATCCTCAATGGAGTCATAAAGAGTGTGAAGAAAGATGGAGAATGGAAGGTAATGGTTAACAAAATCAGATTTATAAACATGTTTTCTATGCAGGCATTAGTGTTGCTTATTTTATGTACTTGTGTAGGTTTTGATCGTGGATCACATGAGCATGCGGATTCTGTCCTCTTGCTGCAAGATGTCTGATATTTTGGCAGAAGGAGTGACAAGTATGTTTGCGGCTACTTTAAACTGATCATCATTAATCAAAACTAACTTTTAAAGTACTTGTTAAAAATGACTTAAAAAAAGAAATACACAAAGTTTTCAGCTATTTTTTCAGCAAGCAAAACTCTTGAAATCCAACAAGCTTTTCAAGCCACAAACCAGTCATAACATTTAAAAAAATTATTCTCTGTCCTCCTTGGCTTTTCACAAAGCCTCAATATGTCTGTCAGTATGCATTATTATGTTCTTACATGCATGGCATTACATCACTCTTCATTTTTACACAATAATTATGAGAGTGACATTTATGTTTGAAAATTCAAATCACTCCGCTTTTCTGTTTTCTAGTTGTGGAGGACATCAGTAAACGCAGGGAGCCAATTTCCAGTTTGGAGGCCATTTATCTGATCACACCAGAGGAGAAGGTTAGCTATTGTCATTGTCATGTTTTATTTCTTTCTTTGTTGTTTTGTCTCTTGTATTAACAAAACTGTTGTTCTTTAATGATACAGTCAGTTGACGCCCTCATTAAGGACTTTAAGGATTCAGCGTTTACTTACAAAGCGGCACACGTCTTCTTCACTGACAGTAAGTCAAATACAGGAAACACGTTTTACACTTGATTTTACGTCCACTATACAAAACTCTAGTTATAACCAGGGATGCTCCGATCAATTTTTTTTGCTGCTGATCACCAATACTGATCACATAGATTGGCCATGAATGTTTTTATGCAATTATCATACGTCTTCTGTCGGATGGGTTTCAGTCACTCTCATGAGAATCAATTAGAGCAAGGAGGGAGGACTCCTCTTGTTTACAAACCATCTTTGTTCTAGTGTGCTAGTCACGTGTCATCTTTGACCAATCACAGTCAGAGATGGTACGCTGCAGATGACGAGGCAGCAGCAGTGATCACCGTAGTGGTTTAGAGCTTATCAAAATAGAACAAAATCACCACTAAACAACAGTTTTCTGTCGAGCACTTTAGCAGATTTACCTTTATATATTTTTCCCGAGGCTCGTCATGTTTTTTCTTTTTTGTTTTGGAGTTGAGTTCGGAGTAAACACCATCAGTATTTAACTCCGATTAAACCTAATATTAGTAACATAAATACAAATAAATAAAAAAATGGGTATGAATTATAAGGGGTGCAGCTCAATACATGATCTGGGGAAAAAGATAAACAAAAACATTGACTTAGTTTTGAGAAAAACATGCCTTTACTTGTTGAAAAGAAAAATATAAAAAGACTTGCAGCACAATCCGTGTGTTTATTTCTGACCATAAGCCTCCTACTCACAACCCAAGTCTTGGAACTGAAGAAGCCTTTAGGAGAAGAAGCTAAACGCCTTCAAGATAACCAGAAAAGTCCAGTTGTTTTCAGAGGGCTCTTAGTGGGAGATCGTTAAGCTTATCCTGGTGTCCACCACAGGGAGGCTACTTCTCAAGCATTGAATTAAATTCTATTTCAGGTATTTTGCTCGGCCTTCGGATTGTCACGCTCACGTGGATAAGTTTGTGAGTGTAGCTGTGTCTGTTGCTGCTCCGGGTGCCCTTATTTCTGCAGGGAACCTAGAAAATTCACCTCACTCCACCCAGCGTTTGTTCTTTAAACATCATTTTAAATCCTCTGTGTTGACACTTTTAACAAGCCTCCCCCTTGCAGTATTTTGTTGTAGGATTCAAAGTTTACAACACTTTCACAGATGGAGTAAAACCTCTGCAGACATGTCTGTTTTTGACGCTGCGTGCCTGCGCTGTGCGAAGGGGGGGGGGGCACTGGGTCTCTGCGGGCTACACAGGATGAACGACAGGCATTGATCAGAATTTGCAGAGCACGTTTTTTCATGGATTTCAGATGAATTTGATCATAGACTGATTGATCAGAATGCCCATAGTTATAACATAATTGGACAACACGTCTTTAAATGAGCAAATGTGTTTTTATTTTCTGCTTTCTTTAGCCTGTCCCAATGAACTCTTTGCTAAGATTGGAAGATCCAGAGTGGCCAAGGCTGTCAAGACTTTAAAAGAAATCAATGTTGCGTTTCTGCCATATGAATCTCAGGTGTGATTTGTAAATTTTCTTAAGGTTTATAGCTGGCCACGTGAATCTACGTGAGTAGAGATGAAGCTAAGTTCTTCTCATTTCTGCAGGTATTCTCCCTGGACGACCCATCTTCCTTTGAGTCATTCTACAGTCCGAAGAAGCGTGATGAAAGAGACAAAGCTATAGCAAGTGTCGCAGAGCAGATTGCGACACTGTGTGATACACTAAATGAGTGTCCTGCAGTTCGATATTACAAGTACTGAAGCCTTGCTAAAAAGTTTATGAAAATGCATTTTCCACTTACTTGCTAATTCCAGGATGTGTAACACCTCTTCTCTAAGGGAATCAGAGGAAAACCTCAAATTGGCTGATGAGATCAGACGCCGCCTTGATGCTCACAAAGCTGACAACCTCAAAATGGGAGAGGTTAGACTTACTACCATGACTTCACACACCAAGTATTATGTGCTGTTGGATCTGTTTTGTTTGACCAAATTGTAAAAGCATTTAGCTGCACAAACAAGTTTTCCACAGAAGAATAGATATCTAATTTCTGCAACTCTTCATCTTCACAGGTTGGGGACATTTCTGTGGTTTTTGGGGTTTACTTTTGAATTTTCTGCTGCTTTGCTGGACCTTTCCTTTTCTTTTTCCCTTTCTTAGCTTACATTTCCTTGCTTCAGAGATGGGTCTTGACAGGCATGTATTTCTCTTCCCCCTTTCCTCCCACATATTTCAGTGATTAGCATGCTATCTTAATTCATCATTGTTTTTTTAATCAGAATATTAGTTTTCTTAAACTGACGTCTCATGCTGCATTAGGCATTGATATGGAACTCTAAAAAAGATGCCAATAATGTTGGCAAGTGACCAAATCTGTTGTCTTTGTCTTTTTTTAGGGTCCAGATAAGGCGCGGTCTCAGTTACTGATTGTCAACCGAGGGTTTGATCCCATCTCACCCGTTCTACATGAGCTGACCTTCCAAGCAATGGCTTATGACTTGCTAGACATCAAACAAGACATTTATTCGTGAGTGAACATCATGCAACCGCTACCTACTGTTTATATGCCGTCATCTGTTTGGCTCTTACAAGCTGCTTTGGACTAAAGTGTTCTCTGTCTTTAAACATGAAGCTACCAGACAACCGGCATTGGGAACTCAAAAGAAAGAGAAGTGCTATTGGATGAAGATGATGAACTCTGGGTCCAGCTCCGGCATATGCACATTGCAGATGTAACTAAGTGAGTTTCAAAGTTAAACATGCATACATGGGTCTCACTATGACACTTAATTACTTCTGGTCAGTAGTTATTCCTTGGTTTGCAGATTATCCATCTGAAATTTATTAAAGTTAGAAATTAACTCTGAATCGTCTCATAATTGGATGAATTTAATTTGATATCATAATTAGTTTAGGAAAAGATCTAATTATTATCTGTAACTTTAAATGTTTTTTTATTTGCAAGCAAGAAATTATTAAATTCATCATCTAAATAGGAGTGTTAATGTAATCTAATAATAAATCAGATTTTTAAAACAATATTATTTAAATTTTTTCTTTGTATGTTACGACTTCTCTTCTTGTAAACCTATTTTCCAGGAAAGTGACGGAGCTTCTTCGCACCTTTTGTGAGAGCAAGAAAATGAGCACTGATAATGTAAGTATTATGTTAAAAACCCATTTGAATTCAGTTATTACAGACTATTACAGATGATATTAGATGGTTTATTATGCAGATTTTATGAACGTTTATTTTCTTTCAGGCCAATATCAAGGATCTTTCTCAGATGTTGAAGAAGATGCCGCAGTATCAGAAGGAGCTGAGCATGGTGAGAGGGAAAGAGAAAAGTTTCATATATGATAGTGTTTTCTATTTAAAACAGGTATATCTGACAGATTAATGCAGTTTATAGACTTAAATTTAACTTTGAGAGTGTTTGACCTATTCAGGAGAAACTAGAACATTTTTCCCTCACTGAAATTTTGACTTGATAAAATGCCTTTAAATTATTAGCTTTTATTGATATTAATAGCATGTGTTGTGGCTTTGTTATTGCTACAAATTCATTAACCGTTTCTATCCTTTCTCCTCAGTACTCTACTCATTTGCACCTAGCAGAAGCTTGCATGAACAAATTCAAGGCCACCCTTAATAACGTTTGTGAAGTGGAGCAGGTTAGTGTGGAGTCTGTCTTATAAACCTGGCGTTATTTGAAATTGTCTGCACAAGTTTGACTCAGAACTGTTTTGATTGAACAGAAACCAAATAAGTCTTGCAGATGAAATAAATGTTGTTATAATTTTATTCTGTGGATGCTACATTCCACAATGGCTGCTGTTTATGTACACTTTAAGGTGTGGAGTCCTTGTCTTCATTCATTATAGATACAATGAGCAGATACTTTGCTGCTCTCATATTGTAGGGATCAGCTATGTCAGATTGTTTTCTGACTATTTGAGACATTTATGACCAAGTTGACTCTTAAGACCTTCAGATAACAGGGTCAGTATTTGTAGCTTTTCTGAGGCTGTGCATGCATACCGCTGGCATCATCTTGTAATATTTAATGGCAAAACAGAAGGTTACATAAGAGGCTTTGGGGCAGACCTCCTTATCCACATGCCAACACAGATGCAAAAGAAGCTGTCGGGACATAACTGCATGTAGAAAGAACTGTAATACACACATGCTACTGTATGAGCCTGTCCACCAACAGAAGCCTGGGATGAAACCACAGTACTGGCCGTTGCCAAACATTGTGCTGCTGATGTGTGCCAGACATGCTTCCAGAGGCGACACACTTTGCCACATTTAGCATTGTGTCAGTGAATCTCAGGCACACAGAAAACGATGATCAAGACGTGCTTGTAGAATTATGAGTCACAAGTGTTAATGGGCTCTTTTTGTAAAAGTAAGTCACTCAACTGCACTAATGGATTGTCGGCATGTCTGAAAGATGCCTCTTTAATCCCGTGGGCATGTTTTGGCACTAAAATGGACAGTGTGATCCAAATGGCAACAGTGCTTTCAGCTGTCATTTATTTGTTTCAGCAATCTAAATGCATTTATACAGTGTTGTGTTTCAGGAGTCCATAGGCTCATTATTTTTTATTATTGTGGCATAATTATTTATTCTGGAGAGTACATGTAAACATCTGGGATTGCTCTATAATTTTATTTGTTGAGATGGTTTCCTGAGATTATTAAAGTTGGTTAAAAATGCATGACGTCCAACCTTGAGAGGTCAGAACAATGACATCTATTGCTGTGTTGATGATCATTATTGGCACAGATTAGAAATGATATAGATGGCTAACAAATAAATCAACTAGAGAATTAAGCACTCTTCCTGTGCTAGCTCTCATGGGATTCTGTTGTCAGCTGTTGATTCATATTTCAGTAGCAGCCCGTATTTAACTGGGAATGTCGTTGACAGGATCTGGCAATGGGAGCCAATGCAGTCGGTGAACCTCTGAAAGATGCCATGAAGAGCATTGTTCCTGTACTCCTCAGTGAAATTGATGCTTATGACAAGATTCGCATCATTTTGCTGTACATTTTCCACAAGAAAAAAGGTTTGGACTTATCTAGCAATTCCTTTAATGATATTCTATTTCAGATTTTCCACAAAATTGGGTGCAGCTGTTTGATCATGGAGTGAATAGTAGAAGATTTGAAATTATATCATTAAAGGAATAACTACATTTATATGTGAATTAATTTATCTAGGCATTCCAGAGGAGAACCTCACCAAGCTCATCCAGCATGCAAATATTCGGGACGACAGCAAAATTATTACCAACATACAGAACCTTGGCTGCAACATTATAGTTGGAGTAAAGATCCTATTATTTTTTTCTTAAAGTCAAGTTGTTGTACTGCTTTTTCTATTAAAGCACTGTCACAATTATGTGCAATTTTTTTTATTGTTAGGGCCAGAACGCTGGTAAAATGCTGCCAGAACGTAAGGAGAGAGCCGATAGTACATACCAACTCTCTAGATGGACACCCATCATCAAGGACATAATGGAGGTAACGGTGTCTAAACGGAGTTTTGAGTGTACGCACCTGATAGTAGTTTATTATTTTTTTTAGCATTTTACACCAGCTGTTTGTTTTGCAGAATGCAATTGATGACAAACTGGACAGGAAACAATGGCCATTCATCTCTGAGCCTGCGACAATCACCACAACTCAGACTGCAGTCAGGTGTGTTCTGGAATCAGAAATCATTAAAAAGGCTCTTTGTTCAAGCTGTATAGACAGGTCAACATGGGGGACATTTGCAAACTTGAGGTTGCTTGTGAAGAATTTCTTTGAAAATGTATATCATTTTATTTTTCATTTAAGACAAATGAATCAAGAGGAACAGAAGGCAGATAATTCTGTTCAGTAAAGGCTTTAGACAGAATAAGCTGGGATTGAAAAGGTGAAACGAAGTCAGCTTTACTTTAAGCTGCAATCCCTAAGGGAATTCCCATAGTGGTGATAGTGTCTGGACAAAACTTAAATCTTATTTAACAGATAATCTGCATAACGCACAATGTTTGTCTGCTTGCTTTTAAGCAAAGTGCAGAATTAAAGATGCCATTAATGATAACACCATAATGCTGGATTTTAGTGTAAAACCAGACATGACGGGTTTTGTCATGTTATTTTTTATCTGTGGACCATAATGGAGCAGAATTATTATAATGCAAAAATATACATTATGTAACACGTTTGGGACCACAGTAGAAAAAGCAACTTGAAAGCAGACAAATCATGATTGGTAAAATTGACCTGGTAATGGTAACCAATGGTTACCTTTTAGCAAGTAACAGTTTTAAATTTGTCTCACAGCAGTGCACGTTTTGGACACTGGCATAAGAATAGGTCTCCGACAGAACATCGCTCTGGCCCTCGGCTTATTATTTTCATGATTGGTGGCGTGTCTCATTCAGAGATGCGTTCTGCTTATGAAGTCACACGGGCCACTGATGGGAAATGGGAAGTTCTTATAGGTAAGTTATTTTCAAGGTTAAGTTACAATTCTTAAACCTAACTTGGTTATAAATGTAATTTTTTTCCATCTCCATTTTCATTTTGACAGGGTCAACCCACATCTTGACTCCAACCAGCTTCCTCAATGACTTGAAGAAGCTGGAATAAATTCTCCATCTTAAATTTCATTCCTCAAGCAGGGAAGAGCGAAAGTAAATACGTTTTTCCATTACATTGGTAGCTGGTATTTTGCCATTTGTCATTATTTCATTAACATATGGAAAAAAAGATGTTGATATGGTTATGAAGGAAATCTATTAAGTCTTTCCTTTAGAATTTTCTTGTGTATTATTTTCCTGAATAATGGTATCTTGGTTTGTTTTCAAAAGTGTATGAAGTAGTTAGGTAATAAGTAGGTATCTGTAGAATTTGATTAATGAAATATTGTTGTCCAAAATATTACCATTAATAATCATTTGATTTGCCTAAGTATGCACTAGAAAACTAGATACTTTCACACCACGTATTTATTGACAATGTAACTTAATGACTTTCTAGTAAGGGTAAATTTGTAATAGTAATATATCTGTGTAAAAAAAATGTTCTTCTAAGGCATATGTTTCACATATGGGAACTGTTTTCAGCAAAGTGTCTGCTCTTATGATGAAATCTGCACAAAAACCATATATTTTAATATATTGCTGTGATCTTGTGGGGTGGGTGTTTTTTTCTCAATCAAATAATAATAAAATTTATTTAAAAGGATTTTTTTTGGCGTGTGTGTCAGAAGCTTAAAAGTTTAGTAGTCATCATTTTTAAAGACCTTTAAAGTGGGTGTACACTTGGTATTTTGAACAAATCTGTAGTCTCTAGCATCTCCATTTCAGAAAGTAAACATCAACAAACTGACTTCCTTGGAGTTACAGAGGGGCCAGTAAGGAATATAGCAAAATCATGTTTATAAATTAATACTTTTGTTGACAGAGTAATTTAATAAGTAAAAAAAAAAAAAAAAAAGACATGAAAGGTATCCATCAAGTGTATTTATAGAGCACTTTCCACAACCCTGGAAGGTGACCATAGTGGTTAAGAATGAAAGGTAAAAACCATAAAAAATAAATGAATTTAAGGGTTGATCTTAGTAATAAATGTATACAGATGAAAGGTTAAAGAGGTCCCGAAAGAGGCTGTGCAAAAAAGTTATTTTTCAAGTGGTTTAGCTCCCCAGCGTGCATGCGTGTGAGAGTGAGAGTGAAATATGTTCATATGACAACAAAACTTTTTTATAAATTAAAATACAAATTTCATTCAATTTTATTTTTATTGTCTGATCCGGATAAAAATATTATAAAATTAGTTTTTGTAGTTAGGTGAACCTTACAGGTCAAATATTCACTTGTATGGGTTGGCCCATAGTCTGTGGTTGTAAATGTGCTGGGGGCGCATAGGAAGCAATCCAAGATGGCGGCCGAGCTAATGATGTCTGGAAAACGGCAGAATTTGAAGTCTTACTCATTAATATTCATGATATCGGAACATCAGGTCTGTCATTGGCTAACAGGAAGAACGAATTTTCCACTGCCTCTGTTGGACATTTATTTTGTCTTGGGTAAAAAAAAAAAGTAGCACGTTTTAAAATCCCCACAAAAAAGTCTGAACTGTACCGCCAGGTTGCGGAGTTGCTAATGCTAACGGTTAGCTTCCATTAGCCGAGACGACGTGCTCTTCTGCCTCTTGGCCGAGCAAGGTGGTGCAAAGGTGGGTGAGTAAGTGAATGCTAAATTTCCCTGTGATGTAGGGCTGTGTTAGTCTAGAAACCTAAACCAACCTTATCAAAAGGGTCCCGTTTGGCTTTTTCTGACTAAAGCATTTCCCCCTCCATTTTCTTTTTGTAGCTACTGCAATTAATAGTGTAGAGGACTATTTTCACGGTTATTATGTATGTGAAACTTTGTGTGACCACTCATACTTCAAAAAAGAAGTAATGATTCTCAATGAGCCATAGGGTCACCATATTTCCATTTCCAAAAAGAGGACACAGCTATGCTTGCCTATGACATCACAATATGGCAAAGCCACACAAACCGCATTGTAACCCTTTTCAAAAAACAAAAAAAAAAAAAACCTTTTCTCAGCTAATGGCTAAAAGTATCAGATTTGGCCAACAAATGCCTCTAAAAACTATTTTTTTACACGCAAATCTGTAGCGCTGAGCCTGCCAAAATCACAGATGTGTCTGGCAGGACATTTTTGAGACACTTGCTTAATTGTATCTATTGAACAGTGGGCATTGTAGTGGTCCCTTATATTTCTGTATTATACATGTGTAAAGAGCAAATGACAGGCTCATTTTTTAAAATTTCCTACAAAATGCTTTCCAAAAAGTACTATTTGAAGCAGTTATTGTGGGTATTTTGCTTGATAAGACATAATGGCTCATTTTTGGGAGTAAAAAGTGCCACTTTTAAGCAAAGTTTCTAAAACAGCCCCCCCCCCCCCCCCCTAAATCTTAACCTCTGACATAACTGGAGGGAGTATTAAGATAGCCCTGCCTGAAACTCAGTGTGGTGAGTAGTTGGTTATCTGGTATTGCGGTCATGTTTTCAAGTCGGTGTGTGTGTTTTGAATTGCATGCAACATTTGTTTGTGGAGACTGTACAAACTCCAGCATGTCCGAACATTGAGTCTGCGGGTTTCCAGGAAAGGAAAACAACGGCATTATCTTGCTGCTTGCGTGTCTTTTTTGCTGCTGAAAAGAATAGACTTCACTTCTGCTTCAGCTTCGGACATTGCAGTTTGTGGTGGTGTGCACTTCAGACTGGAGTATTACAATCCCAGCGATGTGATAGAGTTCAACATGGGATACAGAGGCAAACATCAGGTGTGACTACGTTGTGCTTTCGGAGTATTAAATTTCACCGGAGCACAGTTAGCTCGCACGAGACATGATCACAGATCCACCAGAGGCTAAGCTCTACGCAGACGGGATCTCTGTGTTGTAAGTCTTTTCTAACATCTGCTAAATACCAACTTTATTCAAGTAATATATCAAAGATTAGAAGCAGTGTGAAGTGTGGGTTATTAAACATCAATAAAGCTAGCTTGCATAACCAGACTAACATGCAACGCTAGCTAAAGTTAGCTAATGTTAACTAATGTTAGCTTGGCTTAGCAATATTTTTGTAAATAAAACATCTGCCATTTACGAACTTTGTTGGAGATTAGAGGCAATATAAAATGTAGGTTATTAAAGAACAACAAATAGGGATGCACTGAAATGAAAATTCTTTGCCAAACCAAAAATGAGGAAACCAAGGTAAAAAAACTGAAAACCAAAACACCAAAATAAATGATCAAGTCAATAATTAGAATGGTAGAGTTTATGGCTATGATATGTACCTCACTAAAACCAAGGCAATGCAATAAATCAATTACAAAACCATGAAAATGTTCATTTAGCACTGATAACAACAATGCACAATATGAATTAAAATAAAGTGTCACATGACCCCACTCATGAACATTAAATAATAAAATATAAAAAATTATAATTATAAATGTACAGGCTTATAACTCAAAAGCCTGCTGAGTGTGTAAAATTAACCCTTTAAGCTCCAAAGTCGCAATAAAATCTCTTATGAAGTTATTACTTTACACCAGAAGCTAGTGGAGATGTGTAACTTCCATCTGAGCAACACTTTTGGGTGTTTCTTTAAAATTTTTTGGACTTCATAGAGTTCTAAAACTACCCCCGTCAGAGTCTCCCGCCTGAGGAGACGAGCAGAGCAGAGCACACAGAGGGCCAATATTATTATCGATCCTTGTCAGACACATGACCTGGGGTCTTGTTTATAAAACATTGTGTAGAATCCTTACTAAAACCGTACTTAAGCTCAGCAAAAAAAAAATTACTTACGCCAAGTAGGTTTGTGACCTATAAAACATGGGAGTTCACACAGCTTCAAGCAGTCTACGCTTTATAAATCAGAAACTCCCTAGAAATATTCTCTGGTGTTTTTTGATCACATCCCGCTCTCAACATGCCCACTTTCTGCCATAAATGGTCAATGCAAAGTGCCTTGTGGATCTCATGCATATATGTAAGCTGGTGTCGGTACAGGATCTGCTCGGGTGCAGGATCGGCTCAGGGTCCTTCGACTGCCGATGACGTCACATTACTGCAAATCTACTCGGCTTTCACACATACGTTTTGGAAAGACATCAGCAGTTTTATTAATAAATTCTTGTTTGTTAACATCTAAATGTTTTCTTTATAATTGTAATTTGTTAATAAAACACCATATTTGTTTTGTAAAGAATGTGAAACCTCATAAAACCAACATCGGACTGACAAAAAATAGAACAGTTCTTTTATGTGAAGCCATATCTGTTTGCATTAATGTGGAGTTCGTCTGTATATTTCCTTAGTTGTTATCTAAATACATTCTTTGACTCAAAATATTGCTTGGTGTCTTTCAATAAAGTTCTTATATTTTATTTTGCCCCATTTCGTCAACATTAAGAGCTTTTGAGGGTCACCGTTTATCATTTACTTATATTTTACATTTCCTTTAGAAATTCTAACATATTTTCTCCAAAAAGTGTTGATTTTTGGACTACAGGACTACAACCGCTAAGACTACGACCGTAAATTTGTTCTGACCAATCAAAATCATAACGTGATAATGTGACAGGTTGAAGGACTACTGCACTTGATACTAATTCATATCAGTTGATATAAGAACAGAAATAATGTAAATATGGCAAGAAAATGGTTAAGAGGTTATTATTTGTCATGTTATATTGATGGCTTTCATGTTATTTAAGAGAACTGCAATCTATACATCAGTGATCGGCTAATAAGCCTTTTCTGGAATCGACTAGTAGTGTCTCTATTCTCCACTAGGGGTTTTTCGCGCGTTCTCCTCACTGCAATGAACGGCTGTATGAGAGACGCAAGTCATAATCACTCTCGTGATTCTTTTCCCCCTGTTTTCAGGGGTGTAACATTTGGAGGCACCGCTGGGATTGCTGCTTAGATGTCCGTTGTCCATAATCTGCACATCGTAGTCCAAGCCAGCTAAATTCCCCCATACAACCCAGGCAGACTGCAGCGAGGAAATTGTAGCTGTTGAGGCGAACTGGTAGCTGTGTTTTAGCGCATGTTCCTGAGGCCATCCAGAGATCATCGGGGGCTGCCAAACAACTCAGCTAAGTGTCACCTGTACATGCAAAATTATTCCTGCCTACTGCCACAATGTCTTCGGTGGAAGAGCTGAGAGAGGAGGTTGTGCGTGAAATGCACACCATGTCCAAAGAGCAACTAGTGTCAATCTGCGAGATCCTGGGCATTGCAGAGAAAATAGATGTCAGCGGAAAAACACGACTGTCACTGCTAACACACATCCAAATATACATTGAGAGAGAAGATATAACAGGACTTGAGGATGAAGGAATGTCAGAACTGTTGTTGCTTAATGATAAGATTGCTGAAGTAATGAAAGAAACAATAGTGGAGACTGAACCGAATGGAAATGATGGGGGTTATTCAGAGCATCGAGAGCAACCAAACACTACAACCTCACTGGTAACCGAGACAGCCAATGCAGTCAACACAGCGGTTAGTTCTCACTCCCAGGCTAATCGCTCTGTCCCTACCTCACCTGTGTCCCGTGCCCCCCAACAACCAAGCTCTTACTGGCAGAAAGACCAAAATATCGGGCCAGATTGGCGAACCAGGTCAAAAAGACAAACTGACATTTTCCAGTCTTGCTCACCAGATCGAAAATGGACTGAGCAGAGGCTACTCCGAGCTTGACATTGTAGATGCTGTCATCAGAGCTATCTTGCCAGGTCTACAACTACGCAGCTATTTGGAGGGAAAAGCTCAACTCACCCTCCCGACTCTACGCCACATCCTGCGCTCCCATTTCCAGGAGAAGAGCGCCACCGAACTCTATAAACAACTTGCCTCTGAGGTACAGACCCCAAAAGAGACTGCCCAAAGCTTCCTGATGAGAGTTTTAGATCTAAAGCAGAAAGTCTTATTTGCTTCCCAAGAATCAGAGTCAGGACTCAAATACGACCCAGCTTTAGTCCAGCGTATGTGTTTACACACCATACTCACAGGCTTCCAGAGTGACAGTGTCAGGATAGATATGCAGCCACTCCTGTTAGACCCTAAGACACCTGATGAACTCCTGTTGGAGAGGTTAAATACGGCTTGTGCCAATGAGGCAGAAAGGAAAAACAAGAAAAGATGTCTTGCATCGCAGGCTGCTACAAGTGTGAGCGCAGTACAGTCAGACGATGTGTCGCCAGCAAAGAACCCTGTGAAAGAAGGCAAAGCTAAGATACCACCCGGCTTTTAACTGAGCTAGCGGAGCTTAAGACTGGTGTAGCCTCCCTGAAAGGTCTCAGTGCAGAGATAGCTCAGATTAAGGAGACTCTACAGCAGCCGGTGCCTTGTCCTCAGTCAAATGCCCCACCACCAGCTATGCAGTATGATAGAGGTCAGCAGCAACAGCAGTATTATAGCTTCCAAGGCCCCCGTCAACGACCACCACCCCCTCAGTATCCTGTACAGCACTACACAGGTAGTCCAGCCCGTCGTGAGAGGAGGTGCCACCGTTGCCAGCAGGGTGGAGTCAACGAACGCTGCACACACTGCTACCTCTGCGGGAGTGAAGAACACTTTCAGGCTGGATGTAGAAGCAGAGGTATGGGAGCATATAAAGAAACATTTAAACCAGCAATGGTTACCACCGAAGTGTTAATCATGTCCATCATCCACAAGTCCCAACATTGCTCCAACTGTAAACAAGAAAAGTCAGGCATGAGACGGTGTCCAGCATGTAAAAATGCACTTTATTGTTCAAAAGCATGCCAGAAACGACACTGGAGACAACATAAGAGACAATGCACTGGCTTAAAGACTAACAAAGACAATGAGACTGTTCAGGTACCACTGCCGCAAACTCATGTAAACATTCCTCACAAAGTCACATCTCTGGTGGGCAGGCAATGTCTGGTTGAGTGTCTCTTGGATGGCCACAGGCTTCAAGCTCTATGGGACTCAGGCTCACAGGTATCAATCATCGATGAGAAACGGAAAGAGAACTATCTGCCACACACAGAGCTGAGAGATGTAGCAGATATCATGGACACATCTGAACTCACCCTGACTGCAGCAAATGGGACCAACATGCCATACCTTGGGTGGGTTGAGACAACGTTCCAACTTGTTTCCGGAACTGAACGAACGGAGAAATTGACCATCCCCATGTTGGTAATGAAAGGTTTTCAGCTCACATGCCCTATTATAGGTTACAATGTCATTGAATACATTGTGAATGAGGCTGACCAAGCTAAACTGTACAGCACAGTGAGGAAAGCATTTCCCAGTCTCAACAGATACAAAGTGAAAGCGTTTATACAGGCTGTTAGTGCAGATACAGTTAACGAGTACAACGTGATGACAACGAAAGACTGTATTACTGTACCTAAACAAAGCCACGTGCATGTTGAGGGTCGTATAGCAGCAGGGCCATTTAAACAGGACATGGTCATGATATTTGAGCCAGACTTAAACCCTCAGTGGCCAGACAATCTTGAGTTTTTTGACACTTTGGTTAACGTTAAAAAGGGTGCCTCACCGGTCATAACACTAGGTGTCTCTAACCCCACTGACCATGAAATTGTCATTCCAGGCCGTACGTTAGTTGGCTCGGTTCAGACTCTTACAGCTGTTTTACCTGCCCAGATGTTTGAAAAAGCCACATCTGTCGCTACTGTTAACCAGACAAACACACAAGCCCAGTGTAGCTCCAGTGAAGAGTGGGACCCGCCTGTGGATCTTAGCCACCTGGGTGAAGAACAGGGAGTATTGGCGAAACAGATGCTCAGAGAGGAATGTCATTCTTTCTCTAGAACAGACGATATAGGTTGTATTGAAAAACTGAAAATGACCATCTCACTCAAAGACAACGAACCAGTCAAACGCACATACCTGTCTGCCACGGCCGCTCTACCAAGAGATGAAAAGTTACCTGCATGACTTAATAGCACAAGGCTGGGTCAGAAAGTCAGACTCATCATACTCCTCACCAGTCGTTTGTGTTAGAAAAAAAGATGGTACCTTAAGACTGTGCATAGACTACAGAGACCTGAATCGGAAATCTCATCCTGACCGCCAACCTATTCCACGCGTCCAGGACATTATGGACAGTTTGGGTGGAAATTCCTGGTTTTCGCTTTTAGATCAGGGAAAAGTGTACCACCAGTACATATGCTCTTTGGACTATGCTCAGAAACAGATTCTAGTGACCACAGAGACTATGTTGAAAAATGGAGAAAGGGCATGGAACAAGCATACTCTATAGCAAATGAATGCAAAGAAAGCTGCTGAAAAAAGCAAAAGACACTACGACACAAAAGTAAGGAGTTCTGTGTTACAACCTGGCGAGACAGTTCTGGTCAAAAACCTGACACCTAGAGGAGGCCCAGGGAAACTGAGAGACTATTGGGAGGACACTTTTCACACAGTAGTCAGACAAATGGGGCCTGACCTCCCTATCTACGAGGTAAAATCGGAGGGAGGCGGGGGACGTTTTAGGGTGCTTCACAGAAACTTGCTTATGTCATGTGACTACTTACCTTTGGAAAAAGTGCCTGAAAAAATAATCGTACAAGACGTGAACAGAAAAAGACTGATAAACCCGTCACTGTTGTGCCAGACTCTGATGATGAGGGCAGTGTTGATGAATACTGCTGCCATTACGCACCACCTCAACCTGTGTCCCAGCCATCAGAACAAGAACTTCTTACAGCAGCGTCTCAGCCCGCAGCTTCAGCCCCTGCATCAACTCCAGAGCCTCTTGCTGGAGACCATCTGGAGGCGCCAAACCCAGCTGCCGCGGAGACAACTTGTGAGGAGGCAGGGCCCACTGCAGGTGACATATCTGCCCCCCCCTCCACCGGTTGTACCCGAGAAACTTGAGGAGGAGACACCTCAGCGGCCGCAGAGAGAGAGACACCCGCCGAGACGGATGACATATGACCAATTGGGCACCCCATCCTGCTACAGTATTCAGCCAGCACCGCAACTGTTTCCTGTGTACCCGGGCCTGGTCCCATGGTTTCCAGCTGTGCAGTCATACTGCACCCCGCCCATTGGTTGGTATGGACTCCAGCAAATGCAATAGACTTTGTGAAGACTCACGTATGGACTTTGTATAGACTTTGTCTTCAGTCACCGGTGATGGACTGTGGTGAAACAGGTGTTAAACCCACAGCATTGAGGACATTGGTTCACTCTACTGTTGATGTCCTGACTACAAGAAAATATAGATTGCAAAACGATTGTTGGCATAATGTCGGGACGACATTTTTTGAGTGGGGGAGAGTGTGACAGGTTGAAGGACTACTGCATATAAAACTGTTCACTTGATACTAATTCATATCAGTTGATATAAGAACAGAAATAATGTAAATATGGCAAGAAAATGGTTAAGAGGTTATTATTTGTCATGTTATATTGATGGCTTTCATGTTATTTAAGAGAACTGCAATCTATACATCAGTGATCGGCTAATAAGCCTTTTCTGGAATCGATTAGTAGTGTCTCTATTCTCCACTAGGGGTTTTTCGCGCGTTCTCCTCACTGCAATAAACGGCTGTATGAGAGACGCAAGTCATAATCACTCTCGTGATTCTTTTCCCCCTGTTTTCAGGGGTGTAACATTCACTTCCGTAAGCTTCATGTTCAGCCAATCAACTACTTTGACGTCATCGGCAGTCGAAGGACCCCGAGCCGATCCTGCACCCGAGCAGATACTGTACCGACACCGGCTCGTTGCAGCATTTCACCATTAACGATGGCTTGTTCTGTGTGCGCATGAAGCGGTACAAGTGATAATGCTGCTGGAATTCCGACCCTGTTTTGCGATCGATTGTGTGTAAGCAATAGGGATGAGCGAGTACACCCCTATCTGTATCTGTATCTGTTCAACCATCTAAATTATCTGTATCTGTATCTGTACTCGGAGTGGGCGTGGCCTAAACCGGAAGTTGGTGTGGTTTAACCGGAAGTGGGTGTGGTTTACATCAATACGTTATTTTAAGTCTGATCAGAAGTTGCTATGTATGTGTATTGTTTATTTGAAAACTATTTACAGAGCAGCCTCAGAGTTGAGATTAAATGTTTTTGATTACAATAGTAAAGAAACTATTACAGAACAAGTTTTTCAATGAAATCAGAACAGTAATATTTAAGTGCATGAATTAAGAGAGAGAGAGGGAAGAAAAGATCTTTTCTATAGCACCTCTCAAGATAAAAATCACAGGGCACGTCACAAAAACAAAACATGTAAAATAGAAAAAAGAATTTAGAAAATGATTAAAATATATTTAAAATGAGCAAAAAATAGACAATTGCGATTAAAAATGTAAAGAAAGAGAGAGAGAGTGAATAGGAAAGAGGGAGTTGATCCTCCTCAGGAAGAGGAGAGAGAGAGGGGAAAAAACCCGACTGGAGAGGAGACAGTGAGTGACTGACGCAGCATGAGCCGTTTTCAGCTCTGTCTTTTCAAATGCACCACGTACGTTACGAAAAAATTACTTTAACTTTAAAAAGAAGCAAACTGAAGAAAACATAGGGAGTAGTGAAGAAACGTGAACAGTGAAGCAAGCACAGAGAGATCCGTTACTGTCTGTGTGCGTGGATGAACCGGACACGGACTGAGCAGAGCTCCCGGCTGCGGTTTTGTGTGTAGGGAGGGGCGGGGTCTCTATTTTACTGGCCAATCCCAGAGCGTGAAGACAGTCAGTTACCCAATGAGGATTTTCCTTCAACACGATTACAGATATTTACCAGTTTTACTCGTCTCATGCTCGTCAAAAATGCTTTATCCGTACCGGATACTCGTTTGAAACGAGTATCCGGTTCATCCCTAGTAAGCAAGCTTTATAAATGAGGCCCCTGGATGTCAACCGCACCAACTTAGCGCCATTTTAGGTGTATGACTCATGTTGCTAGGGTCAGCTGCAGCTCAAGTTGAAGCAGAACAAGACGATCGTTCATGAGTGCTCATAGGTACTTTTTCCTGTCTTAATTATTGTCTGATGCAGCAGAACTCAGCACTCGTGTTCCCGTGACTACATGTCACTTGCGCGGCCGCGCTCACAGCGCACATTCCCCTAATGTTGCAGTTGGAGGATCCCTTTGACCTGCTTAGTTCAAAAGTAACTCATGAGGTGGAAAATTCAGAAGCCAAGCAGTTTTTCTGGAGAATTGAGAGGAGATACAGGAAGATCGGAGACAGACAAAACAGGAAAATAGTTTATTAAAATCTAGAAGTAAAAAAAAGTGATTGGGAAAGAAAATGTAGATCAATTTATCCCTCTGTTTTACTTTATAAAGCAATAATATATAAGCGTGTAATATTCATATATTCGATACAATTCAGATCAACATTAAAACTAAGTTTCACCCAGGGCCATATCAAGGCATTTTGGGGGCCAAAGCTAAATATTCAGAATTTAGCTTTTTCAAATGATTTAGCTTGTTTATTATTTAAAATATCTTCAACTTTATTTTTTTTAGAATAAATATTGTTAGGTAATTTGATTTTATCCCATATTACCTTAAAGGACGACACACCCTTTGATAGAGAGAGAGAGTAAATTGATTATTTGTAATGTCCATGTGTGTGTCTCAACCAGCCCCCACTCTGCTTCAGCCTTCAAAGCTTTCTCCTCACCTGCTCTGTATACCTGCATTCTGCAATTATCTGGTAGATAATACTTAACCTCCATAACCCTGGAACCTGAAATAAACACACATGACAACCAGGAAGACATTTTACATTGAATTAGCCAAATGGGGGGGGGGATCACCATGACACATAACTCTCTCCAGAGCTAGCTGCCAGGCGACTCCCCCCTCCTCAAGAGTCTTCAGTGGTTTTATTCACCAAATGGATGGGGGGAGAAGGCGGACCTTCTCAAGTTACAGAGTTACAGAGTTCTCTCAATTAACATCTTTGCTCAACCTTTTTATGAACAGCCAACACAGATTCATGATGTGTAATGGGCATCTTTTAGGTCTCAAAAAGGTACATTTATAAAAATACCCAACAAATATTTTGTTGGATTATTTGGGAAAATAATCATAACACAACATAGCAATGACTTGAAATGTTTTGTATGGTTTTAAGTTACACTTTTGACTGGGAAATGCTCTTTAAATGCATTCTATACCTTTTAGAAGTATTATGACAAAAATGACAAACACTATAAAAACTGAAACTAAAAAGTGCAAAAATATTCCAGCGATCTTAATAAAACAGCATTACTAAAATGGGAAAAACTTTACTTTTGAAATCTGAATGTACTATATTTATGAAGCAAAAAGCAAGTTGCCAAATAAGGTGGAGCTACATGAAACGAAAACGGGGTTCAGCTGACTGTCTGTTTCAGTGATATAGGCATTTCAGCCAAAAACTGAAAAATCACTTGGGTCATTTTCGGTCAAAAATTTTTGGTGTCAGAATTTTCGGTGCATCCCTAACAATAAAGCTAGCTTGCAAACAGGGCTAACAATGAAACGCTAGCTAAAGGTTGCTAATGTTAGCTTGCCTTATCAACATTTTTGTAAAAAAAAAAGAAACTTAAAAAGTGCACTTTAATGTGTGTTGTTTCCAAGGAACCAGATGCACTCGCACCCCTGGCCGGGAACATGCAATTGAAGGGCGCAAGTGCAAGTATTGAGATTGGGCTTCAGTCATCCGAGTGAGGTTGTAAGCTATAATTCTGTGTTACTATTATCAATGCTGTTATATCATTATGTAAAGGTGTACTTCTTTATTCTTGATGTCCAGGTGCAGCCCAAGATGCTCAGCATAAAAACTCATAAACCAGTATCAACTCCCCTGCCCAGTCTTGTCACAATGATGATGACTCAGGATCATCAGATTTAACAGATTTGTTGACAGGATCGACGTGTCCAGTTAATTTACTTTATCAGACACAAACAACAACTGGTGTAACATAGGTTAAGACATCACGAAATGATTTCCTCAGAGGATCCAAATAGCAGCTGGTGTAAGCTGGAGGGTCTTCAGCGCACAGTGAGGTTTCCGAACAAGCAAAATATGGCAGTGTCAGCCCTCATCATAGACAGTAGTTATCAGGTAAAGACAAACTTTCTGCGGAGTGTGTAAAACAGAAATTAAATGAAAATATTAGAATTCATGTGTTATGTCCCCTATTTCTGGTTGCCAAGTGGGTGCGGGAGGAAATGTGTCCAACAGGAACACGTCATTCTTTGGACATCTTGCATGTTGGTAAAGTATGTATCCAGATTATTCTTTTGTTTGGGCTTTCTATAATGTCATTTATTGTTTTACATTTTGTGTTTCTGTTCTGAAACAGGCATTGGGAAAGCTTCAGATGCAGCTTCCTTCCCCCAGCACATGCTTCAGCCCTCATGGAGTCCCTGAGAGTGGAACGCTCCAGTCCAGATCACCACAGGGTCTACGAGAGAGCAGCGGGCTCATGTCCTCCTCTGCTCCAGCTCCCCTTTCCAGAATCTACTAGCCCGGCAAGTCAGACAAAAACTAGGACGATAACTGTTGAAGTAGTGCTGCGAGCGGCTGCGGCCCAAACAGCACCAGAACCGCTCACGGGGCATGCGCATGGCTCGCCAGCTATATCCCTATTAACACACGTTCCTTTTAATTTCTACACTTTTTTTTCTCACACAATAACAAGGATTGTCGAGAAAGCATGTTTGCCGTAGTTATGTCAAATTATACTGATCACAAAACATTTATTTACTTTCTTTCGTTTTCCTCCGCCACTCATAAATACCTGTGTCCTCCTGCAGCAGTCCCGAGGGACAACAGACATTAATAACAACACAATAAAAAATCCGACATGTAAAAACTGCTATTTTTAGCACATTTTTAGGTCAGATGTGTTGCTACCAGATGCACAGTGGGAGCTGAAACTGAGTGCTACAAATGGAGAAGTCGCACAGTGTCCACAGAATATATAGCGGACCTCCGAGTCCACTTGCAGAAGTGACATTTACATGTGGATGTATCCTGGTCAGGTGCTGCAGCATAGAAGATGCGGTGTTGTGGTAGGCAAAATCAATTTTACAGTATTACACCGGACTACGTTTTCCGCCTTACGAAGTGAAAAATGGTCCCACACCTTTCACATTTTCTGTCTTGTTCACACTCCACCGGGGTCCACGTTATCCTCCTTATTCTAACAGCTGAAACGTCTACTCAGCTTTTGTTAGTGCCTACAGGAGTGATTCATCACCAAATTGAAAAAATTCAGCTGCGCTCATGATCTAAAACATGCAGGAAATGGGCTGGAAGCAGACTGCAGCGCCAGGTAGGTCATCTCTATTTTTTCTAAGTCCCAACAGAGCAACCTGCTAGTCTGAAGTTGCAAGTGGAATATTCTGGCCACAGGGGGTGATAGGGGCTGGGTGGCCTTTCATTAACTCTGTAAAGGGTCATTTTAGCACATACTGGCTCAAGAAAATGTTTTAAAAATATGAAAAAGTTGCTTTAAGAGATGCAAAGGTTTTTTGATTAAATGTTTGAGAGTTTGTGAGAGCTGGAGCAGCACAGATACAGCATTATCTCTGCTGTTTGTAAAGCTTACTTTAATAAACCATATTTTATAATAAAATGTCATTTTTTCTGCTGCTTTAGTGCTGCAGCAACATTACAATAGGAAATTATCCTACCTTGCATTTTATTACAGCATCCTTCCACTAGCCAGATCAATAAAAATGCGTTGCTTCTGCAGCTGTGAGATCAGAGACAACCAAATCAGACTCAGCGTAGACTGTCAGAGAATCCGTAGTGGCTGTCAAAAGGTTTTTGTTAATGACGGATTTTTGCAAGTTTAGAGAAGAAGCAGGTCGTCAGCATGTCTGAATATTTTGTTTTTCACCTGACAGCATTAGAATATGCCAGTTATGTTTGATGTGTTTTTGCAAACACCAATGAAAACCTGGACATTTATATAACTTGACCGCCCCCCTGGATGCCCCGGACGGAGAGTGAAAAGTGGACCTGTCCGGGGAAAGAGGACGTTTGTTAACCCTACTTTAACAGCATAAATAAGTTTATTCAACTATTGTGACCTATTGATAATTATATTAAGCACTAGATATTTAATATCCTGCTCATTAAGTTTTTCACTCCTTAAGTACTTGACCTGTCTTGCTTGCAATTTGTAAATTTGCACTGGTTGATGTTGGGGAAAAAGAATAAAGGCAAATCTCATGAAAAAATTTTTATGTCAGTGGTAGTTTTGATAATCCCATTGGCTTGCACCATAATTATGACGTAAAGGCTTCAAAATGAACACACATGAAGTTTAAGTAAAGTGTTGGGTCAAAAGGAAGAATATGTACACCTAATAGTTAAAGAGATTATCCCTCTCCATCCTGAGGATTATGTTTTTATCTGGGATTACAAATGGTGATATTAAGAAGAGGGCACTAGCTTGGGTCTTAGTAGCGATAGGCTAAAGCTCACAAGTTGGAACTCTATTTAAAACCACTTTATCGTGTAAAAGCCAGAAAGTATTTGGAGTAACACCAGTAGGAATCATTTCTACTCGACCGACTGCAGTTCAGCTGAAGCATCTGATAGACATTGCCAAGAATTTAATACAGCTTTGTTTTGAATAATTTGCATGTATTCATCATGGCATTTGCTGGAGAGGATTTAATATCAGAAACCGCTGATGTACAGGTAAGATTTTTGTAGTATTACAATTGTTAGATATGATTATGTAGTATGCAGCATAGGTGTTATTTTTTTTTATTTATTTTCGTGGAGTTGTCTCATAATGAGCTACTATACAGTAAATATTACTTCAGGTTTTTTGTTCTCCATGTACTAGAAATTGTTGTTTGTGTCAACTGAAAATGTTTTGTAATGCAAAATTTATGGTAAACATTCATTTCTTTACATTTCCAAGAAAACATCCAGGACATAACCAGTTACTTGCAGTATGAACAAGTTGATGATCAGTTTAGCACATTATTTCTTGCAATAATTTACGTGTATCAAAGGTTGGTACAATAAATTAATTCTGACAATGCACTTGCTACTTTGTAGAATAATTATTTCTATTTCACTGCTTTTTTATAATGTCAGTACTCCCATTCATCAGATAACAAACACAGAGAACACGTTGGTTTGCAGATGGCATTGGTAAATTTAACTATCAGGTAGACTAGAAATGTAATAAGAGTGATTATTCACCTGCAAAAAGATGGTCGGTTTAATACTCTGTTCAAAAATGTTTATTATAGGAGGCTGAGAGGGATGACCACTGGGATTCAAAGTCACACAGCCATGAGACCCAGAATATGGACGGAAAGAATCTGCAGGCACCAATCCATCAGTTACAAGTACCTTCTCAGAGCACCTGCTCAAGCTCATTGTTTTTTTAGGTTCAATTGTAAACAGATAATGGACAAATGACTTTTATTTAAATGTGGATAAATACATTCTGCTGGTTAAATCTCTTTTTTTTAAACATTCAAAGGAAGATTCACTCAAGGAGCAAATGATTGCTGACAGCCAATGTGGAAGTGTAGAGGAACAGATGTCCACTAGTGATCCTAGAAGAAGTGTTCTCTGCTCACCTGAACACACAGAAAGTAATCCAGCTGCAAATCCATTAAGCATAGGTAAAGATTTCTGCAACCGTCATTCTGAGATTCTAGATACAGATCAAACACAATTTAACAAAGTTTTTACTTTTAGATTCTGAAATGTTCTTCAACTTCTTGTCGCTCACTCAAAGCCGAAGGCTCGATGATCAGCGACTATTTCTTCCATCATTACCAGGGTTACAGAATGAGAATAGCCCTGTTAATGGAGATGCAAGCCACTTGTGTTATTTGGTTTCTAAAGTTCAGGTTTGTAAATTTTTTTAAATAAGAAAACTGATCTGATGCTATCAAAATACCGATAACATTTTCTTGACTTCCAAAGTTTTAGCTGATTAGTACACAATTTGTGGTTGAGTGCTGCACATCTGTTTTCAATGAAATCCATTCATTTTCCTATGCTTATCCAGGGCTGAGTTGTGGGGGCAATAGCCTAATCAGAGTCCCAGACTTCCCTCTCCTCAGCCACTTGGGCCAGTTCCTCTTCGGGAATCCAAAAGCATTCCCTGGCCAGCTGAAAAACATAGTCCCTCCAGCGTGTCCTGGGTCTTCCTGTAGGTCTCCTCCTGGTTGGACATGCCCAAAAAACCTTGCCAGGGACGCACGTCCAGGAGGCATCCTGACCAGATTCCCGACTTCTCACCTTATCTCTAAGGGAGAGCTCAAACACCCTGAAGGGGGCCCCTGTGGCTTAGAGTCTGTGCGAGGGGAAATAGTTTATTTTTATTTTCATCATCATAAAGGGTTTTTGGGCAGCATTTTGTCTGATCCCTCACCTAAGACCGGTTTGCCATGAGTGACCCTACCAGAAGCATCATGCCTCAGACAACTTAGCCCCTAGGATCACTAGGACACTCAAAACCCTCCACCACGATATGGTGGCAGCCCAGGGAGAGCTGATGAAATCCCTTGTCCAAACGTTTCACTAAATCTTTGTACATGTTGACATTTCCCCAAATTACCTAATACATTTGCTGATGATGTGCTTCACTGTATGAAATTAAAACCTTTTTATGGAATGATATTTAAAAGAAAATTGCTGCGCCAATGTTTTTCAGGGGTCCAGAATGGAGGACCAAAGATGTTTCCTACCTCCATTACAAACTTCACCTTTATCAACAACAAAAATGTCTACTTCTGATGTTGGTCTAGTCCGCTCAGCTTCCTTCAGTGCAAGCTCAGATTTAGAACAACAAAAGAATAAAGAAAAAGCATCAGTTAAACAGGTTTGTACTGAAGTTGCAGTGATAATTTTTAACACTTAAGTTAATTAAATTACAAAATCAACTATTGATAAAAACATCTACCACATAAATGTTCTATTGTCGTATGATCATTTAGATATATTTACCCTTAAAAATGAATTGTTTGTGAATGTCTCATGTAGGTCTTGACACCAGCTGAACTTGAAGAACTTTTAACATTAGTTTGTAAATATCAACGTGGTCAAATGGATGAACAGCGATGTGTGTTAAATCCCCAAGATACAGCCAAATTACCCCCAGGTTATATGGATATTTGCAATTTTTGATGTATTTATTTTATTTTTTGTCTAACATTTATATTTGTGCACATTTGATTCTAAAAAAAACATTGTTTTCTCCACCATTTGTTTAGATGCAGACAACCTCTTCAGCTTGCTGTCAAACATTCAAGGCCAACGGCTTGACGACCAGCGAATGTTTCTTCCGTCTTTACCTGGAATACAGAATGACGGTACCACACCAGCATTAACTCAAGCTGAGAGAGATGCAAGATACCTATGTTACGTGGTTTCAAGAGTCCAGGTTTGATCTATCTGAAGCTTTTGTTTTTAATGTAATTTCTTATAATATTGTTGTCTCCTCCCCTCAGTTGTATCTTTTACTTAACAGGTGTCTAAATGACTTTATTTTTCTCTCAACAGGGCTCAAGAATGGATGAACAAAGATGCTATGCACCTGAAGTCATCAGAACTCTTTGCACTCCCTCAGCTCAGCGTAAAGACCTCATGTCAGGCACACCTGACATACCTCCTGACAGCTCTGCCGTTATTAATACTGGCAAACCCTGGAAGGTCAGGTGTTCTTTCTTCCAAACATTATACTGAAATACGTTAACCCCAACTTTTCCTTTTCAATTTTGCTTTCGTAAACCACTGACCATTGTGTCAGTAACGAAGAAAATGAAAATTTTTGTTTTATTCTTTTAAATTTTTTAGGATGTATCTGTAACTGAACAGGACCAGTTCTATGAGATGATAAGACATGCACAAAGTAGACGTATGGATGAGCAACGATGCTTTTTACAACCTAGCCCAATGCACAATGGAGGAGCATTAAATAATGTACCCATAGGTCAGAAAAATACAGTGAAATGCATAGAACACATACACTTTAAAATTTAGACATATCATAAAAATCTATTCTTCTATAGGGGCAGCAGCTGATGCATTTGCCAACAGTTTCACCTCCAGTCAGGCAAAACAATCAGATGTTGAGCACCTTGAACCTCCTACTCGGCAAGAGGTAAGTGAAAAATTTGAAGCAAAAGAAATTGCAAATACTAAGACTGATTAAAAAAAATTTCATGTTTATTTCAAATTACTGGTGATATTAACATAGAAATCCAAACAAATCAGCTACTGTTTGCATTCTATAGTTTATGAATTTAAATAGCTCAATTTTAATGGGCCAAATAAAGATGTACCCTGATTTATATGCCTAAAAATGTGTTCACTTGTTTTTTTATGCAAAGGAAACTAAGGCACACATTAAAAATACCTAATAAGTACTTGGCTTAATTTAGTAGAACCACAGTTCATTCGTGACATGCTTTGCATCTTCCCTTATTTATTTTTTCTCCAGATATCACCACCACTTATCACAGTGGATCAAGGGACACCTGTCACACTGAGGAAGGACCATTGCAAAGGTACTTCTCAGACCCAAATGGCTTGTGCAGATTCTGGCTCTACCTTGGTCCTACCCAAATCTGCTTCATTTACTCCTGAGACAGAGTTTCAGAAAAATCAAAACTCAGCCGCACAGGTAAACAAATAAGCAACATAACATTTTATTTCATTAAAAGTAAAACATAATGGCTAAATGCTGCATAAAATGCTCGGGTCATTTTAATCATCAGTTTCTCAGTTAGTGACCTCAGAATGGGCAACAGAGTCTCCTTTCTTTGAGACAAATGTGCAGGATCATCTAAACGGTGTATGAATTAGGAATTCTGCCTCATTTTGCTTTAACTGAGTCTGTAATTTGACCTGGTCCAAAGCAGGCCACTGTCAAAACAAAACCGTAATGAAGAAAGTGAAAACTTTTCTTGTTTTTTTATAGTTGACACTGAGAGTGTCTGTGAGCATCACACAACAGCCGGTGAGCTTTTCCAGAGCATATTGAAAAATCTCAAATTCAAATGTTTGGGTCTTTTTAAATCTTATTGGATATTTTATGTGTTTCAGGGGCTGAATAATGACTTGCAGATTCCAGAAGTCTTTCTTACTCTTGGTGCTCCAGGAGATAATGTTGTGATTCCTCTGAGCCCAGTATTTGGCAGACCCATATCCTTAGACTTAAGTCTTGTCCCTAAAAATGATTCTAAATCCACACATTGCTCTCCAAGCCATCCACGTTCTAACAAAACCCATTCTCAGCCATCATCTCCCTATTTGTCACATCCTATAATTTCATGCTCAAACGAGAAGGAGAAACTTTTGACAAGACCTGCCAGTCCAAATAAATACTGCTCCTCCCCTGGTGAAAAAATCCATTCATCCCTGATGCAAAAAGGAATATTTCAAGGAACAGATAAATGCAAAGGGGCTCGTGGAAAAGGAAAAGAAAAGACAGAGCAAGGAAAGTGGAAAGGAACTGGGAAGAAAGATAAGAATAACAGTGAAAATTATTAATAAGACCCATTGTACATTTTGTAGTCAACTAGATGTGTGAAATGTGGAATGTGGCTCTGAGGACAGCCCCCAGAGGTTAGTGACGATAACAATCAGCATTACCTTAGAAATATTTTTACATAAAAAATGTTTTTAGTTTTTAACTATAAACAAAGAGAAGGTCTTGTTGGAGATTGAGGTAATTTGTTTCATGCAAGACGTATGTTCAAAGTTATTTAAACTGTGTGTAATTTGCGACCTGTTTTGGAAGAAAAATTATATTTTTCTAAATACTAAATGCTGTGTATAGGTATAAGGAAAACATATTTTTGCTTATTATACTATTTTTAATAATTATTTAAATTGACATCCATTACATTTAAAATATTAATAAATGCAAAACATGGTATCAGCATTTAAGTAAAATTACCAGATATGATTTTGATGAATTCCACAAACATTTATTGCAAGATTTTACTTCCATTTCCAAAAGTTTATTTGTCTTTTTACAGATTTATTTGATGTCATGTGAAAAAAAATCATCAAAGCTCATTGTTTGAATCTCCAAGAAAATATCAATAAAAGACCAACATTAATCAGCTTGACTCCTGTATCATTTGATTTATCCAACCAAACAGACATTGCCTTGACCACATTGCGTAACAGAATAGAAACAATTATAATCCCCTTACTGTTTCTTTATAATCAGTTTGCCTACTTTTTGCCTAGATTTTTTTGAAGGTTACATTGACTTGCTCAGTATCATATCTGCTAGACAAGTGATCCCCAACTCTCTTTCCCGAGGGTATCCAGCATGTTTTAGTTGTTTCCCTAATCCAACACACAGGGCCTGCCAGTTCTAGTTTTGACTAGTGGTTCCCAACCTGGGGTCCCCACAAGATTGCAGGGGGTCCCCACAATTTTGTATATGCTGAGGTTTTCGAGGTAACAAAAATTATATTAGAAAAAATATATTCATAAAATATCAAAAACACACATAATAGTAGGGCTGCACAATATATAGAAAAATTATCGTCATCGCGATAACAGGACGTGCGATAGGCCCATCGCAAAGCACGTCAAAAACGGCGATAAATGTTTGGTTCAAACATTTCCATCCGTGTCGTACATCAACTTTTTGTAAACCAGCTCTGTGTTTTACGCGGAAGTATTATTTCACCAATCAAATGTAGCCCTTTTGATATGCGGCCAATCAGATGGGTCCGTTCACGTAATACGCCCGCCCCCTACGTAGACACTTAGGATGAGTGGAACGCAACACCCGAACTGAGTCACGGGCGCCGTTCCCTTGTTCGTCATGCTGGCTCAGAGCAACGAACGCACTTTGTGCTGAGGTTTCTGGAATCAGCACTGCTTTCAAACGTGAACGTAAGTCCGCTCGGTGTCGTTAAGCAGCTGATAATAACCGGGCTGACTCCGACACGTGCCGGTGAACCAACCCACCGACCTCCATGTCGCTAGTGTTCCACCGGGTGGTGATGTTAGCCCCAGGCTCCGGTTAGCTTCCAGCTAAAAGGCTACAGCACTCTCCTCCCAGTCCCACCCTGCTAAAGAGGGCCTGGAAAAGTTCCCCCACACATCAAAGTGATTTTTCATTTATGAGCTGTTAATCAGGATAGTTGATTTGCTGCTGCACATAAACTGTCAGTCAGAAGCTCTGCTAGTTGGTTATCTTAAGAGGAGCTAGTTCAATTTGTTAGCTTGTTATCAGAATCATAGTTGCAGTTTCATCATCTGAGCTGCTTTTTAAGATCTAGGTAAACTTGTTCAATTTGGGGTTAAAACCAAACGTTTTCACATATCTTCCATGTAGTTTTTTTTTTTTTGCCATTTCCTCTTCTGAAAGGTAGATAATTGTTTTTCTCTTTCCCTCAGAAAATCTTAATATTCTCCTAGTTTGGCCCAGCACAGTTCACTTCCCAATTACAGCAACAGCCTTCTATCATAACCACATAAGTGGAGAAAATGCTCAGTAGCAATGAGAGAATTTGCTGTTGCATTTAAGTGATGTTAACTATTATTTAACATTTAAACTTATTTTCTGATGTTTTTTATTTATTCAAAAAACCCTGGTAAGGGATGTTTTTCTGTATTTGGAGCATCAGAAAAAGTTTTATGGTGGAGGTGATGTTTTAAAGTCACTGAGAAACTGCATGCATGCAGTTTGTTGTTTTGCTGCTAATACAGTAGCAGGTGCAGCTGCATATTTTTTCAATAAAAATGTTATGTTGTAATGTAATTTATGCATTAGTTTTTGTTTGCTTTGAACCCAGAGCAGACGTCACACGCCAGATGACATCAACACTGCATACTTTAGTATTTGTTCATTTATCGTGAGTATTATCGATATCGCAATATTAAGCACTGTTATCGAATATCGCAGGTTTTCCTAATATCGTGCAGCCCTACCTAATAGTAAAATCAAGGCTCTGCCTAAGAGTTATAACTCCTTATGTCAGTATAAAGTTAGTAATCACATTTGATGTGTGTCTGGGGGTAAGGGTTGGGGGGCCCTGACTCGTCTTGGACACAAGCAAAACGGGCCCTTGTGGAAAACAGGAACCACTGCTATAGGCACCATCCATCCAGGTGTCATCCCAAACAGAAGGAAAATGTAACGTGTAAAACAAGTTGATTGTTAATGTGTCTTAAGATTAAAATATCAAGCCCATATCAACATACCAAAGTCTATTAAGTAGCACAGCATGTGTTCAGTGTTCGTGAATTTGGTGACACTGCAGTGTACAACAGTTTTTTAAATATCTTATTATGAGCCATTTTTGGTGTTTTCATTTGTTGATGGTCCCTGAGTGCAGCAGTGCCATGAAAATAAAAATGATTAGACAACAAGATGTGCTTCCCTCTGCTACATGATTTGGTTTGGTTTGCTGAGATCCAGCCACTCTCCCACCTCCCTTCTAACAACACCGTAACACTTTTAAAACCAAGGGAAAACCAAATGTGTACTCACCAAGCAAATTCTTTTCAGATTGTTGGGTCTACTGTTTTTATTCCCAACCACAGACATTTTCTCCCTTTAGACATAACTTTTACTAGCATAAGCATCAGTATATGATGTCTGGTTAGTAGTAGCTTGTTCAAACAGCGGCCAGCTCCGAACTCTGACTGGTTCTTTTCTCGTCCAGTCCCACCTATTCCATTTGCTTATTGTTTTTTTTCCCCGGTCTCTCATCTTTTCTTTTTCTGATTGGATTTTTGTTTTTTTGGATTTGGGCATCTTGTTAGGATGCCTCTTGGACGCCTCCCCAGGGAGGTGTTTCTGGCATGTCCTGCCGGCAGGAGGCCCCTTGGTCGATCCAGGACACGTTGGAGAATGTACATGTCCGAACTGACCCAGGAATGCCTTGGGTCCTACCGGAGGAGTTGGGGGAGGTGGCTGGGGAGCGGATGGTCCGGAACTTGGGATGCTGCAGCTGCAACCCTGATAGGCGAAAGAAGACGAGACAGAATTTTTGTTTCTGTCAATTTTTGTTGTCCCTTATTAGTCAACAAAACAAAGCATTATTTGTGTTTATGCTTTTATTTTGAATGCCACCTCAACTGGCTCCTTTTAATGTGGAGGAGCAGTGGGTCTATTCCGGGCCCCTCCCGGATGACTGAGCTTCTCACCATGGTCTTAGGTTTAGAGGAGCTGATTCTCGTCCAGCTACTTCACACTCAGCTGTGAACTGCTCCAGTGAGAGTCGGAGATCACATTCTGATGAAGTCAATCAGACCACATAATCCGCAATCATCAAGCTGTGGCCTAAGGTATCCTGGTGCCAAGAGAACATATGGACACCTTTTTGTCTGAACATGGTGTTCGTTATGGACAATCCATGATGAGCACAGAAGTCCAATCACAAAACACCACCCGAATACAGATCAGGGGGGCCGTTCCTCCCCACCACACCTCTCCAGGTTATTGCCCATGTGAGTATTCAAATTCCCCCAGCAGAATGAGTGAGTCAGAATGAGGAGCGCTCTCCATCACTCCCTCCAAGGTCTTCAAAAAGGGTGGGTAGTCTGAACTGTAGTTTGGTGAACAAGCATAGTGAACAGTCAGGACCCATTCCCCCACACGTAGGTGAAGGGAGGCTACCCTCACATTCACTGGGGTAACCCCAACATACAGGCACCAAGGTGGGGGGTAACTAGTATGCCTACACCTACTCGGCGCCTCTCAGTGGGGGATACTCCAGAGTGGTAGAGTGTCCAGCCCCTCCCAAGGAAACTGATTCTGGAGCCACAGCCATGCGCTGAGGTGAATCCGACTATGTCTAGTCGGAACCTCAACTTCACACACCGACTCAGGCTCCCTCCCACCAGAGTTGACATTCCACAAGCTGAGAGCCAGTTTCTGTAGCCAAGGATCAGATCGCTAAGGTTCCCGCCTTCGGCTACCACCTATCACACATTGCACCCGACTCCTTTGGCCCCTTTCACAAGTGGCCAAAGGATTGGGAAGGGGGACCCATGTTTCCTCTTCAAGCTGTGCCCGGCCGGGCTCCATGGGTGAAGGCTTCGCCACCAGGCTCTCGCCATTGTGCCCCACTTCTAGGCCAGGCTCCAGTGGGGCTCCCAGGTGACTCCCGTTCGGGTGACAAATCACTGTTTCCAATTATATTATTAATCTTGAAGGGTCTGTGAGCTGCATTTTGTCTGATCTCTGACCTGTTTGCCAAGGGTGACCCTTCCAGTGGCATAAATTCTCACACACCTTAACTCCTAAGATCATCAGGACACTCAAACCCCTCCACCACAGTAAGGTGGCAACCCAGGGAGAGGTTTGAAGGCAACGGCAGCCTTTTCTCTCAAGGTCTGCTTAGTTGATCCAATGTGCTGCCATTCCTAAATAACTCCTGATAGTACAGTTCCAAATACTTGCTGTAGCTGACACATACTATAGAACCTTAAATGTCTTTTTTCAGTTCATTTTCCATTTTAACGTAACACTGGTCCAGGAAAATTGAAAAAAAAAAAATCTGTCAGGTGGTACCATCTCACCTCTTGTTTGCATTTTGCTTAGAATGTCCCGGAAAGATGGAAAACTATTGAAATGGGAAAAAATTCATCCACTATGAATGCTGCAACAAGTTTATTTATCTCAGCCTTTGTGGTTGCCTGGCAGTAAACATCAAGTTGTAACTCATTTCACGGTGTCCACATCAGACTGCGCTCTCTCTCTCTCTCGGGCTCATTAGCAACTAGCTTGTAAGTGATTGGAACAATTTCATGTTGAGTTCACAGCCGTAGACCTGCTTATTTTCCATGCATAGCTTACACAAAACTGTCAAGTTTTTATCCTTTCCCGCAACAAAAGAAAGGCGATGTGCATACTTCCATCTGTAAAATGTCGCATTTTTCTCCATTACTTCTGCCATTTTATTCTCTTTAAGTCTCAGTGGTCTCCTTTAAAAAGCAGGCTTTTGCCCGACCTTCGTCACCACCCTCCCCTTATTTTGTTCTTATTCCGCCTTTCTTGGGATTAATTGATTTCCCTCTTTCTTATAAATTTTCTATCTCCTTTTCCTTAAATTTTTTTCTCCTTTAAACATAGTTTTAATCATTAAAAAATGTTTTATACTTGTTTTTGTTTTGTTTTTGTGAAGCGCCTCATGATTTTTATCTTGAGAGGTGCTATATAAAAGATTGTTTTCTTTCTTTCTTTGTCTTCGTTTTCCTCCATGTGTGATTGTGTATGTGCCGTTGCAAGGTCGTCACATAAGATAAAGCTCTTTTCTTTTGAGAGAAGAGGACAGTACAATTGATAGTAACGCAAAACATTTATTTCTCTTTAGGTTGTAATTAGGGCTGCAGCAATCGAATATTTTTGTAATCGAGTACTCTATCAAATATTTTATCGATTAATCAAGTACTCTAATAAATTGCCCTTTTGCGTTTGTAAACCATTATATCAAATAGCATGTTATAAAATATGAAAGACCTCTTAAAATGAGCAAGCAATTGCCAGTTATTCTTCAAGTTTTATTCAAAATTAGTTTTCAAAACTTCAGCACTTCAACTTTACAGTAAACAAATGCGAGCGGCTGCGGCCCAAACAGCACCAGAACCGCTCATGGCGCATGCGCAAACACACGTCCGTTTTAATTTCTACACTTTTTTTCTCACACTAACAAGGATTGTCGAGAAAGCATGTTTGCCGTGGTTATGTCAAATTACACTGATCACACAACATTTATTTACTTTCTTTCGTTTTCCTCCGTCACTCTCATAAATACCTGTGTCCTCCTGCAGCAATCCTCAGGGACAACGGACATCAATAACAACACAGTAAAAACTCCAACGTGTTCAAAAACTGCTATTTTTAGCACATTTTAAGTCCGACGTGTTGCTACCAGATGTATGGTGTGAGCTGAAACTAAGTGCTACAAATGAAAAAGTCGCACAGTGTCCGCAGAATATATAGAAATACAGGCTAAAATGCATTATCTTGTAGAGGCTCTGATTCCGCTTGCAGAAGTGACATTTACATGTGGATGTTTCCTGGTCAGGTGCTGCAGCTTGGAGGATGTGGTGTTGTGGTAGGCTAAATCCATTTTACAGTTTTTAAACTGGACTACGTTTTCCGCCTTACAATGTGAAAAATGGTCCCACACCTTTGACATTTTGTGTCTTTTTCGCACTCCACCGGGGTCCACGTTGTCCGCCATGGTTAAAGAGAAAGTTAAGTTACATTCGCTACTCGCGTGTGCATTCAGTGCAGTGTGTATGTCCGTCACTTATTTCGGTCCGGGTGAAACATGACCCCGGGTGATTGCAAAGCCATGAGTTAATTAAACATGAATTAAACGAAGCCTCGAGGCAGAGAATTTGACCCAAGGATTTTTTGTACTCGAATTATTCGAGGTACTCGAGGAATCGTTTCAGCCCTAGTTGTAATATGTTATATAAGTGGGGGACCTGTGTTACATTAATGTGTGACTGATAAATGTAATGTAAAAACATACACTAGATGGTGCCATTGGATAAGAGAAATACTCCAGAAAGACGCTTTAAGAGAATTAGTGGTAACGAGCTGTTAGCACAGATACGACTTTACTGTCGCTATTGCTGAGGATGTTTCTCTGTTAAACATCAGGTGAGTATAACTGATGTTACCCCATCTTCAATACTCCTTAATTCATCAGCTCTGCGCTGCAATAGTCTCCAGTCCAAAGATGACACAGCTTGACAAAATTCATGCACAGTCATATTGGCCTAAATAGATAATTGATAATATGATATGAACTATATATAATTGTACATTACTTTATTTGTGTATTCATGTAGCAGAACACATCCCAGCACAATGTATTTATTTATTTTACCAAGGTGAGTGCTGTCATCTGGGAAATTAAATAAAACATTTTTTCATGTACCCCCTGTAATGCGCTCATGGACCACTAGGGGTATGCATACCCCTGGTTGGAAATCACTCCTCTAAATTGTTCAATAACAAGTTCATCTAATAAAATCTACTACAGTGGCATAGTAAAAAATAGCTCAATACATCTTAAGCCATGTTGTGGTTTGGAAAGAGTGTTCAAATGTCAGTTGTTGAGAAGACTGTTGTCTCAGCTGTCTGAAATAAAATATGGCTGAGAACCATTCCAGAGAGGCTGAAGGCGGATTACATGTCATCTTGGAATGGAGAGGAAGAATAGTTGCCTTCTAGGTTGGGATGATACCCCAAATAAGTCCTGTTCCAGTAAACGTGATATTAGAGGTGCTAGAACAGAGCCAAAATGAATCATGAATGAAAACATTATTTATGGTTAAGATTAATAAAGCTTGTGTCCAACATAATGTTTCATAACATCAGTCAAATGTCCTTTTTGTGTTGGCATGTTTGTCCCAGAAAACCTGACATTTTATGAAGCTTAATGCTTAATTTTCCCTTTTCACATTAATTAATTTCAACAATTATTGTATTGATTTTATCAATATGGAAATTATTAAACCAAGTACTTTTAAAAGGTAGGATAATCAAGTATGACCAACCTTCTTCATTGACTTTGAGTCTGTAGATTTTTATAGATGAGCCTGCATATGAAGCTGTTAAACTAAGATGAAACGAGGGGAACATCTCCTGTGAAAAGAAACCTGAAAAGGATTAAAAGAGTATTATGTATCACTAAGACAGGGACACTGAGAACCTGTGAAGACCCCTTTATAGACTTGTTAACATGTGGTGGTTATGATCCTGAGCCAACTGTTATATTTTTTTTAGATAATGTTGATCGTTACATCCCAACATTTCCTGTGATACATGTAATTTGTTATTGAAATGCAAATATACACTTTGTGAATTTATTTGTTCCTTTTTAGATTACAATTTTTTCTGTTTTGAATTCCCTAAATTTGTGGGATAAAAGTAAGCAACATTACTTATTTTGCTTATATCCTAGCACCTAATTTTAGCAAGTCCAATGAATCACTCTTTGGAGACTGACAGCTTTGCTGACAGGAAGAGCAGTTGCTTGAGTCTGTTATATGACACTGTTTCTTTGACGGCCACTCTCATGCAGTTGTTTTTAAGACTGCATATGTCAGTTCCTAAAATTATCTTGGTATATTGATGGGCAGCTTGTTGTTGGTGTGAAATGTTCTTGTAAATAATCTGTGCACTCAAGTTCAGCAACAAGCACAAGATCACTTTTAAACACTGTTAATTGCTTCCTGACTATTTTAGTCTATTAACAGTCTACGGTTTCGTACATGTCCTTCACATTGTGCTTTTTTAATGAGGGAATTCCTACAGGCTAATTGATACATGGCTAAACTAACATTTCCACATGCTTCAAAAGCAGGGGAAGTTTAGTCTTAAATTTGTTTGTAAAAGCATGATTTATTTTAGAAACATTCTTCAACATCCTTTAAAATTTGTTCACTAAACATTTCTTCTGAAATCTAGCTTTAATTTAAACTAAGTATAAAATTCCAATCAATACACATTGCTTTTTGCTTAAAATAACACAAATAAGCAAAATAAATCTGAATAAAATATTTTATTTTGTATACATTACAACAGAATTTTCATATTATATGAACTCCGTTGTGTGGTCCTTTTGTTGATTTTCTCTTACTCAGCATCCGACTGAAATGAAGAAAAGAATAAAAAACATTTTACCAGCTGTGTCCATTAAATAACAATATCCATATCAGTTTACAACACTTACTTACTACATGCATGTCTGGCCAACTTGGCCTTTGAAGTAAGCCAGCCAGCTTTTTCAAATAAACCAGTCAACACTGTTCAAATAGTCTCTGCTGGCAACAAGAACTGATCATAAATTTAGAGTGCTGCTGGGATTCCCATCAATTTATATAGACTGTCACATTGCTTAACTCTCAGAGCAGAGGACACTTGAACAAACAAGAAACCTGAGGGCTCTTGAATTGCTGCAATCATTATTGGATTCTAGCAAGCCAATTGACGTTCCACAGTGGTGTTTTACTTTCCCAAGCATTTGCTGGCTCACTTATGAATTCTAACATAGGATAGAGGATTAGCATGGTGTTGGTTGGTTTGTTGGATTAAGTAATATTATGGACTGCAAATAACACTTTTAAATGGTTGTTTGGAGTAAACACAACAATGATCCCTCTAGTCAGTTACATTGTGCTAAAAGTCAACTTTCATTAAAAAAGTATTATTGCTAGACTATGACTTGTCATCACGTAATGTTTTTGTCAACGACTGAATAAAATGTACCTTTCCAACATCACGGCTTTTGGCCCTGAGTTTGTTGACCTGGGACTCGGCGATATCAGCACGCTCCTGAGCTTCTTCCATCTCATGCTGGACCTTTCTTAGCCTGGACATGTGGGTGTTGGCCTGTTCTTCCTATGAAGTGAATGGTATTGTACAATTTAGCTTACTGATAAATTAGCATTTTTTATTACTTGGGGAAAAAATCACTCATGAAAATTCACTTACTGCCTCCTCAGCCTGTCTCTTGTAAGCCTTTACTTTAAGTTGCAGCTTGTCCACTAGGTCCTGAAGTCTGACCAGATTCTTCTTATCCTCCTCAGTCTACACAGAAAAAAGGTTTCACCTTATAAAGTGTAATCATATGAAAATGGGGTCAACGTTGAGTAAAATTACTTAATATACCTGGTAAGTCAGTTCCTTAACCCTCCTCTCATATTTGCGGACTCCCTTAACAGCATCAACTCCACGTCTTTGTTCAGCTTCAACTTCAGCCTCAAGTTCATGAACCTGTCACAAGGCGATTGACGTTTTTATTCATATTCTCATACTGGAATAATATAGAGCACGTAACAATCATACCCTCTGTTCAAGTTTCTGGAGCTGCTTCTTGCCACCTTTCATGGCGAGGTTCTCAGCCTCATCCAGACGGTGCTGCAGATCCTTAACTGTGACCTCCAGGTTCTTCTTCATCCTCTCCAGGTGAGCACTGGTATCCTGCTCCTTTTTCAGCTCCTCAGCCATCATGGCAGCCTGGAATCATAAAAAATTGAAATTACACTTTTGTAATGTATAGAAAAACTAGATAAATGTCTGGGGAAGTAAAAGTTTTAAAGGAGACTCACATCAGTGATAGCCTTCTTGGCTTTGTCCTCAGCATTTCTGGCTTCCTGAACACTATCATCCACCTCACCCTGAACCTGGACAAGATCTGATTCCAGCTTCTTCTTGGTGTTCAGGAGGCTGGTGTTCTGTTAATTGTCCAAAATAAATGTTGAGCATTTGTCATTTATATTTTATATCTTTCATTTCTCATAAATGAATAGAAACCAACCTGAGAGTGGAGCAGTCCAACACGCTCACTGGCATCAACCAACTCCTGCTCAGCCACTTTACGTGCTCTCTCAGTCTGCTCCAGAGCAGCTCTCAGCTCTTCAATCTCAGCCACCATCAGACCATTCCTGCGCTCCACCATGGCAACCTGCTCCTTCATGTCTTCCTGTCCTCTGACAGCATCATCAAGGTGCAGTTGAGCATCCTAACAGCAAAAGTATGGATCAGTCAATATGTTCTTTAGTCTCAAGCTTTTTTTAAAATTCAGATCTAACCCCAGCCCCACCTTGAGTTGTCCCTGGACATTCCTAAGTTGTTTCTGGGCCTCAGCAGCCTGCCTGTTGGCATGGCTCAGCTGAATCTCCATCTCATTCAGATCTCCCTCCATCTTCTTCTTGACTCTCAGGGCATCATTCCTGCTCCTGACCTCATTATCAAGAGCGCTCTGCATGGAGTCAATCACCCTCTGGCTATTTCTCTTGATCTGTTCCATTTCCTCGTCCTTCTCAGCAATCTTCCTGTCAACCTCACCCTTGACCTGGTTGAGCTCAAGCTGGACACGAAGAATCTTAGCCTCCTCGTGCTCCAGAGTGCCCTGTGAAGAATTTAAAAACACTGTCACAAAAGCTACCATTGAACTAATGAAGGGCTTAATTTTAATCCTAAAAAATTACCTCGGCTTCTTCCAAAGCTGTCTGAATTTCAGATTTCTCAGTCTCAACAGTCTTCTTTGCTTTCTCCAGCTCATGGATGCTCTTTCCTGTCTCACCAAGCTGTTCAGTCAGATCTGAGATCTCCTCTACAAAAGGGAATAACATTAAAACCATTTACCAATGATAAATGAGCTATAACGTGATTCAGTCATTGGTCCATTCAAACAAATACACATGCCAATTTACAAATTGGAAGGTTTAGGCTCAGTAGATTCAGTTCAAGGACACTGTATTGTATGAAGTTCAGAATTAGGATAAAATCTCCAACCAAAAATATGTAGTGTGAGTTAGTTTGTTATTTCAAACTTATTTCAAATGTATTAGTTTGTCAAAAATGTAAATATTGTTGAATTGTTTGCTTGAAGAAAAAACATACGCTGAAGGTTCTTGTTCTCCCTCTTCATGGTCTCCAGCTGATCCAGTGCCTCTTCATAGGAGTTCTTCATCTTGAACAGCTCAGTGCTCAAAGAACGAGCCTCCTTTTGGGCTCCTTCCAGCTCTGCCTGGCCCTCCTCATACTTCTGCTTCCATTCTGCCAGCACCTATATTTGCAGTAGAGGTAAATAATTGGTAATAAATGCTGGACTGTGTTTACTGGTGCTACTCTTCAGTAGTTCAAATTCCCAAATGATCATTTTACCTTGTCAAAGTTCCTCTGTTTCTTGTCAAGGTTGGCAGCCAGACCATTAGCTCTCTCTACATCAATCATGAGGTCCTCCACCTCACCCTGCAGCCTCTGCTTGGTCTTCTCCAAAGAGGCACACTTGGAGTTCACAGCCTCAATGGATTCCTCAGCCTCTTGCAGGCGCTGGGCAAGCTTTTTCCTTTGGTGAACAGGTGTTAGAGTTGATTAGTGGAAAGTACTATAAATGTATACATGACAAAATTGTAGGCACATACTTGGCCTCCTCCAGCTCCTCAGTGCGTTGGATGGCATCAGTCTCGTATTTGGTTCTCCACTGAGCCACCTCACTGTTGGCCTTAGACATTCCTCTCTGGAGCTCAGCCTTGGCCTCCTGCTCCTCCTCAAACTGCTCCCTGAGCAGATCGCAGTCATGGCGGGCAGACTGAACAGCATGGGCCAGGGCGTTCTTGGCCTAGAAAACACAGTCAGTGTGAAACGTATTATTTTACCATTGTTACACATAAGTCTTGGGGGGGGGGGGGGGGGGGGGGGGGGTTGAGAAGGCAAGATTATTTATTGTCCCACACTGAAGAATTAGTACCTTCACTTCCTCTTCCACGTGTCTCTTGAGCTCCTCAATCTGCTGAGTGAATGCCTGCTTGCCTCTTGTCAGCTGAGAAACAAGAGCTTCTTTCTCCTCCAGCTGGCGACCCAGTTCACCTGTGAAAATTGCACATGCATTGATGCACTTGGTGCTTTGAATGTAGCATTAAATACGTCGAATGCTAGGTCACGTACCATTCTCTGTCTGAAATCTTGCCTTCTGTGCATTAACGTCATTCAGCTGACGAACATTTTCATCGTTTTTGGCTTTAATTTCACTGAGTTGGTCCTCAAGGGTTCTGCACATTTTCTCCAAGTTGCCCTAAAACCACAAAACGTTTATTTTATTTTGTGATATTTTATCAGACTCACAACTTATTATAAAAATGAGATGTGTCTGTTCACCTTTGCTTTGGCAACAGCCTCCATGTTGCTGGAGAGGTCATCAATCTCCATCTTGTACTCGCTCTTCTCCTTCTCCAGCTTCTGCTTGACGCGCTGCAGGTTGTCGATCTGCTCTCCCAGCTCTGCAACGCTGTCGGCCTGCTTCTTGCGGAGAGCTGCTGCAGTGGCTTCATGCTGGAGGGTGGATTCTTCAAGGTCACGACGAAGCTTCTGGAACTCAGCTTCACGCTTCTTGTTCATCTCAATCTGAGCAGCTGTTGCTCCACCAGCTTCCTCAAGCCTCTCACTGATCTCCTCAAGCTCCCTGGAGAGGTCAGCTCTCTGCTTCTCAACTTTAGCACGAGCAGCCCTCTCAGCTTCTATCTCCTCCTCCAGCTCCTCAATACGAGCCTAGAATTTGACAAATGAGAGTAACATTTAAACTGGTTCATTAACTTGAAAGTAACAGAGTTATACATTGATATAATAACAAGAGTTTTATAGGAATATATACCTGGAGTTCTTTGATCTTCTTCTGAAGCTGAGCACCAAGGGACTGTTCATCTTCAATCTTGCTGAGGAGTTGGCTGATTTCAAAGTCCTTCCTGTATTACAACAAATACACTTTTCAATCTGAACATTTATTTCATAACATTGTGCAATGCTATAATCAATCTTTTCATTTACTTCTTGATTTTCTCATCAGATTGCTGCTTGTCATTCTCCAGATCCATAATGGACTCCTGGGCCAGTTTGAGATCTCCTTCAAGCTTTCTCTTGGCTCTCTCAAGATCCATACGAAGCTTCTTCTCTTGCTCCAGTGAGCCTTCAAGCTGTCAGATGATACGTATTTCTACATCAACAACAATAGTTTATGCTAATCCAAATAAAATGATGTAGTAAAAAACAGTTTTCTTACATCATCCACTTGCTGTTCCAGCTTTGTCTTGGCCTTGGTCAGAGTGTTGACTTTGTCTTCCTCTGCCTGGAGATCATCCAGTGTTTGCTGATGGGCCTCCTGGAGAGCTTTCTTCTCCTTGGTCAGCTTAGCAATGGCCTCATCTTGAGTAGCCATCTCTTCTGTCAGGTTTTTCACCTACAAGTAACATGAAAAATTCATTAAAATACATCTAACTGCACACATGTACACAGCTCTGTAACTTAACATGCTAGTATCAGACTAACTGATTTGCACCTTGTTCTCAGTGGCATGTTTCTCCTTCTCCACTTTGGCCAGGGTAAGCTCCAGGTCATCAATGTCCTTCTTCAGCTCAGAGCATTCATCCTCCAGTTTCCTCTTCTTGGCAGTCAACTCAGCATTGATTTCCTCTTCATCCTCCAGTCTCTCAGTTGTTTCTTTGAGTTTAGCCTCAAGCTGGATCTTGCTCTTGATGAGCCCTTCACACCTCTCCTCAGCATCTCCAAGATTCTCAACTTCCTATGAATAGTGGTCAATAGAATTTCATCACTCACTATGTTTGAAATTTATATGGAAAGCACATGTAAAATTAATGTGAACATGCTCTTTTGTTGTAAAAATGGGAATTACATTTCTTTTCTGACTTTAGGAGACCAATAAATCAAATGAGACATTTTCCTACTCACAGCGGCAACTTGGAGCTGCAAGTCATTCTTCTCCTGGAGCAGGGAAACCATTTTCTCCTCCAGCTCCTTCTTCTTGGCCAGAGCAGCAGCCAAGTCTGTTTTCATCTTGTCATAGTTCTCCTTCATTTGCTGCAGCTCCTTTTCAGTCTCAGCACTCTTCAGAAGAGGCTTGATCTTGAAGTACAGTTTCAGCCATGGCCAGTTCTTCACATTCATGAATGATCGAACATTGTACTGAATTGTAAAGAGAGCGTCTCTAAAAGGAGCAAATTAAAACATTTTAGATTTACTGCAAGGAAATCTTGATATGAAGGCAGATGAACTCTTATATATGACGATAATCCCACCTTCTCTCCATCATCTTGACAAACTCCTTCCTCATGACATAACCTCTGCAGAGAGCTTGAGTCATGGTCACCAGCTCAGCCAGTTTCTCATCTCTCATCTCCTCAAGTGTACCCAGCAGACCAGCTTTGAAGAACACCTACATGGTCGCAACACAAGAATATCTTGTCAGTACCAGTGAATAGTTGTAGGAAAATATTTGCTATTGATATCAGTTAGAAATGTACCTTAGTGTGTCCAAACTTGTACTGAGTGTGGTCCACATCAATGGAGCCCAACAGCTTCTCTGAAGCTTTCTTGTTGTCGATGAACTGTCCCTCAGGGATGACACTGGCATTCAATACTTTGTATCTAAAGGAAAATAATAATTAGTTTTTCTAACTTTTTACTATACAAAACCAAATTTTCATGTCTGTAGTAAAATAAATGTAACCTCTGCTTGAAGTCACCATAGAGGATTCTACCAGGGAAACCCTTTCTGCAGATCCTGATACCCTCCAGCACACCGTTGCACCTCAGCTGGTGGATGACCAAGAAGTTCTCCATGAGACCTGGGTGTTGAAGACATGTTAGACTAATTCAACTATCACCTTGCATGCTTTAGTGGATTGAACTATGGGAGTTATTACCTGGGGTCTTTGATTCATTGGGAATCAGGCAGCGCACAAAATGAGGATGAGTGCTCTTCAGGTTGGTCATCAGCTTGCCCAAATTCTCCTGTGGGTCAGCATTGTAAAACAAAAATCTTGTATATTTTCTGTATTGGGTTCACATTGTTTTAAAAAGCTCTTATAAGAAACATACCCTGAATACAGCGGACACAGTCTGGAAGGAACCACCCTTCTTCTTGCCACCCTTCTTTCCACCGCCGGACTCAGCTTTAGAAATAAACAAGAGTTTATACAAGGTATTAAATCAATATAAGTGGTCAATCAATTTGTATAAATTGACCAATTATTTGTAGCCTCACTACATGTTAGACACTTGTTGCTGACTGATACAAAAAGTAATGGGTGAATGAAGAACTCTATGTTGAAATTTGTTGTTATAAAATAAATGTATTATTTTGAAATGGTTGAAATCCATAAATATGAAAAGAAATACCTTTTTATTATTCACAGATGTGAAAGTCTGTTTAATTATAATCAGCGCCATATGCACCTAATTTGAAAAAAATCTGGTTGTTTTTCCTCTCGTATATCTTACCCTCAGCTGAGGCATGGGCTGCATACAGGAATCCCAGCAGTTTGTTTGATGATTTTTGGTAGAGCTGAACCACAGATTCATTCAGTGGATCCTTGTTCTTGTCCAGCCAGCCACTGATGTTGTAGTCCACTGTACCGGCATAGTGAACCAGAGCAAAGTGAGCCTCAGCCTTGCCCTTTCCAGGTTTTGGCTTCTCAAAGGCCTTGTTCTTGCCAAGATGCTGGTCAATCAGCTTGTTCTTGAAAGTTGTGTCAGAAGCCTTGGGGAACATGCACTCCTCTTCAAGGATGGAGAAGATACCCAATGGCTGGAAAAATAAATTTCATTGATACATTTTTATAAAATGTATATTAAAGCATTTTCACAAATACTTGTACATGAATAGATGAAACTGATTGAGCATCACAGCTCCTTACCTTCTCAATCAGCTCAATGCAGGCAGCCAAGTCCATACCAAAGTCAATGAACTCCCATTCAATGCCCTCCTTCTTGTACTCCTCTTGCTCCAGGACAAACATGGTGTGGTTGAAGAACTGTTGCAGTTTCTCATTGGTGAAGTTGATGCAGAGCTGCTCCAAGCTGTTGAACTGTAATCACAGAAAATGTGTTTATTTTGATGGCAAAATAGTATCATTCTCTAAACAGATCATTTTAACTACTCACATCAAAGATCTCAAATCCAGCAATGTCCAACACTCCAATGAAGAAGGCTCTTGGCTGCTTTGTGTCCAACATCTCATTGATACGGATGACCATCCACAAGAACATCTTCTCATAGATTGACTTGCACAGAGCTGAGACAGCATTGTTGACCTAGAAGGCAAAATGCCAGTTAGAGTTTTATTCATTTAGCCCATGTACACAAACAGCACAATTGCTAGATAAATCACATGAAAATTTAGGGCAAAAAGAGAGAAAATTTGTAGCTTTGTTTTATTTACCTGGGGGACGGTCTGACCTTTGGTGACCATCTCATTTCCGACCTTGACTCTTGGGTAGCACAGAGCTTTCAGCATGTCAGCTGAGTTCAGGCCCAAAAGGTAGGCAATTTTGTCAGCGACTGATGGAAAGAAAGATGATACTCAATAAAGTGAAAACTTGTCAGCATAAGAATCATTGCAGTAAGTACAAGGAAAAACAGCCTTTTAAAATTTGTTAAAATACGTAATAATTTGTAATTACTCTCAGTGCCGTCTGGTTCAGCCTGCTCCTCACGCTGCTTCTGCTTGAACTTCATGTTGCCGTGATGCATCACAGCACCAGTCAGCTTGTAGATGCTGACCTTCTCTTCAGCATTGAAGC